AAAGCTTTCTCGTTGTAACCAACTTGTTTAAAAGGTCCCATCTGAACAGCAGAGTTGTGTGCTGTTTTTGTTTTACCAACAGAGAATAAAGACTATTGAAGTCAGAATGTTACTTTAAGCAGATGAAAAGTCAGGCATCAAGAATTTACTCCTTTTTCTGCATCTTTTATAAAGACTTAACAATTTGTTTTAGTAATTGTGATATACTGATGTTTCTACATCTATCAATTGTATATACCTAGCTTTGAATATAATGTATTTCTGTGTTCTGCAGTGTATTTAGTGAGTAACCTTTGAATTTTAAATGCAGGTAGATGTTCTGTATCCCTCATGATGTTCTCAGATCTTTTTCTGCATCACACTCATCCTTTGTTCAGATACGGTACAGGCAACACTGAATATCTGTTAATTTTTCACTGAGGAATCAATTTATAGAGTCAGTATTGAATGTGCATTTGGAAAGTTCTCATTTGTTGAATGGACGTGTTAAATCTCTGAGTGGCTTGATTTCAGTTAGCCTGTTTCCTTATAAAAATAGAGAAGTATATTCATTTGTTATTTATTTTTATTTTAAGGGTTAATCTTCAGATGGTATAGAGCTGTTAAAGGACTTGGACTTTTATCAGCAGTCTTTTTCTGAACCATTTAAAATTAAACAACAACAACAAAACATAACACTGAGTTCAAGAATCATACTCTTGTTTTTTTTTTTTCCTTCATGGACAGGAGGAATTACATTCTGCAGCCATGGGAGAAGACTCCTTCCCTCTCAACTGTATATGAAGAGATCAAGGCGCTCAAATTTTAAGGGACTTCAGAATGAAGCGCTCTGTGGGCTAGTACTGTCAGTGTAGTTTGAACCTTTTCAAATACTGTTGGCTAATTATATCATAAAAAGTAATTTTCAACTTTAATTCAGGAAACAGCAAGAAAACAGCATATACATTTAGCTTTTATTACCATTATCACTAATAATAAAGGTTAATGTTTGTTGGATTGGTATTTATTGCTTGCAGTAATGCATGTATTCTTTGGACTGGCAGTTCTTAAACAGATGGTAATAACTGTTCTAACCTGGAGGTTTTACTTATAGCTTAGTGCTATCTCAGAGTAGATACTTTCCATTCTAACCTTGCTGCCTAACAGGTTACTTTATTTTTATCAGAGGAATAGTGTGTTTACTTGCACTTGCTCTTCTTCGACTCCTGCTGTTAACAGATGTGCTCTAAGAAGTTATCTCACTTCTGTTGATCTTAAGTGCATTTCGTTTTTCTTCTGAGAAATTCCAGGTATGTTTTGAGTGGAATGTAAGAAAACAGTCTTTCTGAATAGTTGTGTCAAGCAGGTCATGCTCATGGTTACAAGTTCCTCGCGTCTTGTGGCAGTCTGTTGTACTGGCTGACCATACATTGCTATGCTTTGACTTATAGCTAGAACAGTTTTGATGTCACAGCAGTGTTTGACTGGTGCTGAGCAGTGCAACATGGAGGTTGGAGTGGGCAGGAGATGCACTGAGGACACAGCCAGGACAACCAACCAAAACAGAGGGATATCCAATACTTGTTTGGCATTCTATTCAGCAATAACAACTGGGTAGTCCTCTTGTTAGCCAGATATTTGTCTTCCTGAGAAACTGCTGTGCTTTTTTTGAGGCCTTGCTTCCTAAGAAGTAGCTAAACATCGGCAAAACATTGCTTGCTGATGGGAAGCAGAGAATAACTTTTGCTTCTGTTTGCTTCCATATGCGGCCTTTGCATTTTTTCCCTTTTCATAAAACTCCACCTTATTTCAGCCTGTCAGTGTTGTTTTTTTTATCTTTTCTTGCTCTATTTGTTGAGCTGGAGGAGTGAGAGTGGCTTATTGGACTTTAGCTGCCCATTGACTGTCATACCATTATGTAAATAGGAAAGATTAGATGAGTGTGTTGTTTTTATTGCTCATAGTATATATATATATATTTTAAATAATATTTTCCCCCTTCTTTGTTTTTGCTTACAGTATATTTGGGCCCCTATGACAAAGTAGGGAAAGGAATAAGGCTGTTGGAAAAGTCTTCAGGTTTGCTAATGGTGGTAGATCTACCTCAGTAGTTATTTAGACAAATCACTACAATGGAGTGGATAAAAACATCTTCCAGATCTGTTGTATTTTTCTTCCTTTTTTTTCCCCCCTCCCACAGGGAGGTAAACAACATCTTTCAGAGCAGGTATAACTGAAGATAAGCCACAAGAAGTCTGCTGATTCAATAATTATTTAAATAATTTAGAGGGTTTTTTTCTACTCAGTATGTAGATGTCTTTTATTGACATGAGGATTCTTCATTAGTTTCAAAATCATAATTTAAAGTTTTCTCTAATAATCATTTCCTTTCTGAGCCGAAATTTAGGCTGTATCTTAACCCCTACAAATAAGTCAGAAATGCTGTATGTTCTGTCTAGGAACCAAGTTTTGTTCTTTTTTTTTTTTTTTTTTTTTTAACATTTACAGTACTTGAATCTGAGTTTAAATTTATCAAAACCAAATATTTGGTATGTAAAACAACTTGAAAATACACTACAGTATATCTTTAGAGAGTGAGTATAGATGTGTTGAAATTCAGTACAAGAAAAAACCTCTAGAGGTGTCACTGAGAAACTACATTTTTAAAGATAGAAGTCCTCAAAATGCATCTTCTCTTCTGTATTCTAGCTGATTGTCAGTGTAAATTTATTATCTATTTCCATTATATTTGCAAAATGAGTGCAGAGAGCTATTATAAATGTCAGAACTGGGATTTGTACTCCCAATGAAGAAACACTTTGGACACCTGATTCTATTTGCCTGTATAATTGTGTGAATTTTTCATGGCTTAAGAATGTTAGAAGCTTCTCTCTTCTGAGTTGTTGAAGGCCAGTGTTCAAGCTAGGAAGGTGCAGCTCCTATACTAAAAAGTGGATGAAGGAAGAAGGTCAGCAGCTGGGTCTAATTGTCTTCTGAATATGCAGTTATTTTCGGAAATAATTTGATCTGTACATAATTTATTGCATGCTTTCTGATAATCATTACAAAAGAAAAATTGAAAAACCTGCGTCTGCTGTTTCACCTCAACTTAATGATAAGCATAAGGGAATCTGAAATCAGCTTATATAGATAACGTTATTATCATAGGCTATAAAGTAGAGAATGAGTCACCAGCAAAGCATAGGACATTATCAGGCACACTTTTCTTAGCCAATCTGAGTAGTAGAATCTTTCCAGTATCTGTGCAGCTCACCTCTGAAAACCTTATTTTATTAGTATTTTGAAGATGTATCTGTGTTACTGTGTTTACTCTAGACTCTTCAGAGTTTTTTATTCTTAGAAAGGTGATGGTTGTGTTTACATTTCAAGTTAAAATCAAGTATGCTTAGTTGTTATGAACAGAATATGATCTGTAAATGAAGTGATGAAATATGACCACAGGAGTACAAATTCTGAATTGTTTTCTGTTTCTTGGTAAGACTTGAAGTACTTTCCCCTGTTTTTATTTTATTTTGTGAAAGGAAGTTGTAGCAGTGCTTAATTAGATCCTTTTACAGTCAGCAGGCTGTAAAAAGGAGAGCATTTAAACTCAGTATGCTCTGTCAAGCACTGGTTGGGGTAAAATAGTAGCTAATGTCAGTGTATACAAAAATAAATTGTCATGGGTAAAGCTTTTGTAGTGCAATACAACAATTTTTTCTGTATCATTTCTTTATAGTAGTATATGTGTATTGTAACACATACAATGTGTTAAACTACTAGACAATGCAAAGACAAATCACTAACTAAAAAGATTTATGCTCGAGTACAGACAAACTGATTTACTCAGTGATACAAAATTTCAGTGCATTCACACTTGGTTGTCTGATTCTAATTAAAAGGTTATTTTCTCAGAACAGGATAGTTGATTCTTCAGCACTTCAAAGATGGATGAAAATTGTGTTCTTATGCAAATAGGAAAGAGTACTTTGTATTACTGTAGTGCCTAGCATTAGCAGCCATGGCCCTGCACTTTTGAAGGAATGAGCTGCAGTAAGTATGCATTTATCAGTCAAGCTAAATTTGGCTTTATTTCTAAAAACAATTAGCCAAATGGATGAGGAAGAATATCAATTTTATCAGGCTTTTATTGATCTCATGATTTTCTCACCTACATGTCGGAGTGGCAAAGTCTAGAAAGTATATTTAAAACTGTAACAGAGCAGATGAAAACTAATTGGTGAAAAATGTAGGAAGAAAGAAGCAGTGACTCACTGTCAGGCCAGGAAAAGGGTTTTTTGGTCAGGGTTTGTCCTGACTCTGTCAGCAGGAATGATGCTTGTTCTGGAATGCTTGTCATCAAAGTCTTAAATTGATGCTCATTAGGTTAAAGAGTACACTGAATGGATGGTTAATAAAATTTCATTCAGAATGGAAAGTAATAATCCTTTCTCAGTTTCATGATGTATAGGAATAGATTTCTTGCACTTAAAACTGAAGCAGGAAACATTAATACATGTTTTCTTTCCAAGGATATTTTCCCATGTTTCTAGACTTGTTTTGTGGTATTAAAACTACTCCCAGCATGGGCAAGAATCTGAACCAAATGTGCCATTCCAGAAAAAGCTTCATAACTGTTTGAATCATGAGCAGTGTTCATGGTTGCTTGGTTATTAAAAATCTCAAAGTGGATGTTTTCTGGTTTCTTTCCTGTTCTGTTCTGTCTTCTTAAAGAGCATTTATCTAAACACTGAGCAGGATTCACAGCACGTGCTTTGGTACGTACAAAGTGATTTCCATGCAAATCAGACAAGCTGGAGAAGTTCAGTTTTCACTAGTGTCAAGATATTGAGGGTAAGAAGTTGTTTCACAGTTCAGAAGATTTTGCCTTCCACACTTTTTCCCAATGCTGCTTTCTTTCATGAACTTCATCCCATTACTTAGTTTAGCGTGGTTCAAAGGTTACTGAAGTAATTATTTCTATCCTTGATGTTAACAGAAAAGTGAAGAATGATTACAAGTTTATTCCTTAGTTTTTGTATGCTAGTTAAAGATCTGAAGCTTTGTATTTCCCTAAAGCTCCTTCCAAAGAGGAATGGACAGTAACTGTTGTCAGATAAGAAGCTTCTTTGTGATTTAACACAGTTGCTTCTTTGTTCATAGTAGCAGAGGGAGAAACAATTAAACTGGTCAATCTATACTACTGGATAATATTAGGAAGTTTAAAAAAAAAAATTATAGTGGGGAAAAACTATCACTCAGAGGAGAAAAGGTGAGATAAGCAGATTCTAGTAGTTAATTGGGACGGCTCTGCAATCACGTCTAATACAGTGAGAGGTAATATCTTTAAACTTGTAATGCGTAGAGAATTACAAGTTGCTAAACTGTTCAGGTTTTATTCTTTTACATAATTTATTTTCATTAAAGTGTTGGGTATTTGTTTGTTTTACCACATACTCTGCTGAAGCAAGGTGAATGTGGACCACCTGTTCTGTTGATACAACTTAACATTGAAGATGAAAAGAACAGACCTGTGCTTATTTTGAAAGTGGTACCCTTCTTTTCACCTTCAATGTTTAGACCACAAATATCTCCTCTTAATATAATGTTGATACTACTTTGAAGAGAAGAATAGCAGGCAGTTACTTTTTATTGGTCCTTGTTCAAGTCTTATCCTAACTTGTCTTGTTTGCTTCTCACTTACATAGCATCTCTCTTTCCTATCTTCCTGTTGACTACTACAACAGAAGAAGATAAGAGTCACAGTCACTTTAAGCACAACGTAGCAGTTATCAGGATTCCCAGTCTGACACAGCTTTAACTATCATCTTTACAAGAGAACATTCTGGCAGTACCTCTTCCTGGTCCCCAGGGGTTGCAGAGACCTGATTTCCATACAGTTTCAAATAAATTAATTAGGTAAGGAAAACAGTGTTTAAGAATGTGTGCATGCTTTAGGAAGAGTGAACTCCATGTGATCATTTACAAGTTAATAAGGCCAAGTACCCATTCCTGGCAGTGATGGACTGCATAAGTATCTTTTTTAACTGCCACAACTGATGCTATGGTGGTGCCACAGCAATGACAATTGCAGCATTGCTTCAGAAGTGAGAGATGGAAACAACTAGACTACTAGACTTTGGCCAAGAGGAATATTCCTTTTGCTAAGATAAACGTCTTTGTCATATCTTTCAAATACTAATACTGGGTTCTTCTACACAGTGTTTTTTAACTGAGTTTTTAATGTGGCTGTAAAAGTAAAGCAGTAAGGAAGCTAGTCACATCTGACAGTTGAAATAGGGTGTAATATGATGTTGTACAGTCATTACGTGAAGTTCCTGGTTGCCACTTCTCAGAACTGCTGATCCTGCATTCTTACTATTATTCCACACCACTGTGAGATGCATTTGTCTCTTTACTCATCTGCCTGCCAGTGCTTTATTTATAATTGGTTGGTTTTCATGCTCCTTTCCTAAATTAAAATAAGTTTCAGAAGCACTGTATTTCATCATTCACTTGACTAAAATGTCAAGTATGTTACAGTGTATGCTTCTCAGCAGTAGTGCCTAACTCCATGGTTATTTTATCGTGGTGTAAAAATGTTGTTATAGTGCATTGTTATGGGAATTAATGAAAAATGAAGAGGAATCTTTTCTAATAACTTCAAAAGGATGGATCTTGTGTTTCTATGGTAGCATGTATTTGATAAAGAAACAAAAGTTTTCAGTTCTCCATGTGATAACTTAATTCCTACCTAACCCATCTTTCTGATTTCAAATAGAACCAAAGTATACTGTTACTTCTTTTAGTGACTGGGGTTGAATCAAGGCTTCTGCTGGATAAATGCCTGTGTTCTGTGGCAACGTATGAAAAAAAAGTGTGTTCCACATAATGAAAACATGTGAAATAAAAAGACCTTGTACTGGAACAGTAAAGTTCAGTCTGTCCTACTTATTATTCAGTTTTTTATATTGCATTTTTTTTCTTGTTCTAGATGGGTTTATGTACCTAATCCAAGTTGCAATAAAATGTAACTTAGCAACTGTGTTTATAGATAGGTTAACCTAAAGACAGACTGAAGGACCTTTATTTTCCAGAGGTAGGGGAAAAAAGCAATTTTATTGAACACATGCAAATATATTAACAAAAACTGTACAGAGTCTTGGTAACTAAAAAAATGAAGTTTATTTTGGGCAACTTCAATCACCATTCTTAAGTATTACCGAAACTTTTGCCAGATCAGCTGGGTATAAACCTGTCTGGGTGCTACCTCAGCTGATAGCAGATAACGCCCTAGTGACACTACTGTATTGCATGATAAATGGATTAAGCAGTGATGAGAGGGACTGTATTTGGAAAGCTTTGACAATCCAATGTGCATGAACTTTTATCACTAAATAACCTCTCACTTTTATGACACCAATTTTCAAATACCATGTAACTGCATTTTATTTGATTCATAATAAGAAGTTGTAAAACTGCTTAAAGCTTCTTAACAATGTTTGGTGTTCACATTCAGAGTTCATCTACCTTGGGTGATATTTACAAGCAGTTGACCTCGATGTTGTGTTTGTACAGGGAGCGTGTTTTACAAATTAAAAATTCTTCTAACTTTTAAAGACTTTTTTTAAATAGTGATGAATTCCCAGTACCAATTCCTCATGGTTTTACTTTTACTATGAAAGAAAATGTTTCAAGAAAGCAGGAAATTTTCTGGTCCCTTACAGTAACAGTGTACATTCTTTTTAGTATTTAACTTTTTTATGGTTTTTTTGTTACCTTTATCAAAGTCAATGTGATGATTAAACATTTCTAGTGTTATACAGCTTCTATAGTTACAGATTTCAGTACAGTGTTAAAATGTTCCATTTGGGTTTTTATTCTGGATATGAAGCAACAAACAAAAAGCTGATCCCAAAAAATAAGTATGAATTCCTAAATTGAACTAATATATAATGAGACTTAATACTGAAATACTTTCATATTGATGTGCAATATGTGAAAAAGCAATTCTTAGGAAAATGAAGATGAATACACATCATTCTAATTGAAGGACTGGCACTGCTACAGAAAATGCTTTAGAAGAAGTCAGTGTGACTTCCTCAAAGCAGCTGAATCCAAGTGCGATTCAGACCGCTCAGTCAGGAGGAGGACTGCATCCTCTGTCAGCATCTCATCAACCTTGGTGAAACTGGGAGGAAATGTGTTGATGGCTGGATTCCTATAATTCTGCTTTGTGGACAGCTGTGCTTTCACACACCATAAAGCTGTTTGTGTCCCTATCTGCTCTGCAGTTAAATATTTCTGTCCTTGAAAGAACAAGATCTTTGGCAGGCAATCCAATATAAGAACATCCTTGCAAATCAGGATGTTAAGATCAGAGAACAGACACCAAAATTGTTTGGTTTTTTCCTTCAGTTTTGGTTGTATTTAATCTATGGTTTATTTGGTGATATTGAAGGAATTGCCTGAAATTAGACCTTTTAATTAAGATGTATAATGAGACGTTATTTACCACACAGAGGCTTTCTTTTTTGCTGTTCAGTTAATGTAAAGCCAGGAACGTGCTTTGCCTGTGTTACAACTCCAAGCTCATCAGCAGCTTTGTTTTTTCTCTTTAACTGTATACTTGTTTTATTTTAATTTGGAATTGTCCCACATTTTGCCTGAGTAAGGAACAGTTTTTTCTTCAAAAAATAAAAAAATAAATGTGTAGACATATATTCATAATTACTATAGCTAGAGAACATGCTGTTGTCATATTAATGATTCTAAAAAATAAATTAATTTTGAAGAAGGTAACTGTTCTATTGTTCAGTGTTGTCAAATTCAAGCACAGAGTTCTTTCCGTAATAGTCCCATCTTTGGTGATAAAAATGCATAAGCTATCTTTATTCTTATTGTTAAGATTGTTGTTGAGTTTCATTTTTAGTAGGTGATTGTTTCACATCACAATAGCTAAAATCATGTCCATAAAGAAGATCCTTCTGAGAGATTTCATCCAAGTATGACTCATGACCTGTAACAGTATTCCACATATTGTTATTTCCCAAAGATTTATGTAAGAGTTCTCTCATTCTCCTGTTTTCTTTGGATGTGGATTCCCAAATGACTTCAAGTTCACCTTCTACTTTTCTAGAAGAAAAAATGAACATAAATCTTAATCTTAAAACCACTTTTCAGCAGTATGCAAGTTTGCTATGCACATAAGCAAATTATACAATGCATAAATTTAGATGTTTGAAATGTTCTGATTTGAAATTAAGTCCTATTTTGTTTTTAAAATCCTAGTAAATGTAACATCAGAGAGGACTGAGGCTAATTCAACACAAAAAACATTTGTGAGACTGACTGCCTTTGAATCAGGCTGTTGTGACTGCAGTTCTGCTTCCTCTAGCAGGTATGTTTCTGTAACTCATGCACACCCTTTTCTGCCAGATATAATTTTTGTATCTTGTCTATAAACTAAACAAGTCTGATCAAGCAACAGGTCAGTTCAGTTCTGTGCTCAGCTAATGCCTCTCTTTGTGGAGGCCAAACAGAAATGGTATCAACTTCTGGGTTTGTGTGGTGGTGGTGTATGGAAAGATACATTCAGAGAGGGAGTGGTGTGTCTGAGCTTTTCTTGGGAAATTAACTTCTGAACAAATCTGACATGCAGAATCTGAAATGCTTGCTGATTTCACTTTTAAGCTGTCAAAGCATGTTATTGTCAAAGAAGCATATTGTGGATGCTGACTTTGCACACAGTGTACTACAGTCATAAGACTTCAGTGGGGCATAATACACAGTTTTGACAGTTAAGCTGTTTTTTCAGGTAAGCATCTAAGAAGCAGCAGTTGTAACTGTAGTTGCGCAACGGTAGGTTTTTGTTTCTGCATTTTTTGCTTTAAGAAAAAAGTAAAGTATTTTATAGTGAAGCCTGACTGCTGTTCATAGTTAGTTATTTTTCTTTTCATTCTGCAAATCTGTCACTTGTTAACAAAACAGTGAGGTAGATTCAAAAAGAAACCTGATGTGTGTACTCATTAGATAGATTTTTCTGCCAGCGTGAAAGCTGCTGTGGAGGGGGGGATGGGTAAGTGTTCAGCCTTTAGTAGAAGATGCTGTTACATAATTAATGCATCTTGATGATTTGCAGACCCCTAACTCATCAGAAACTAGGCTCAGATTGCTATTTTTCATACGTACAGATTCTTTCTTGATATTAAAAAAAAAATTAAATTCCTCCTTTAAAAAGTATTGCAGCTGGGAAGGATGGAATTAAGAGCATTTCAGCATTTTCAGTATGGTTAAATAAGACTGACAAAAATAATACACCATATGGGGTATCTGATGGAAAAGAAGCTTGCTGCTGTGTGCAGTTGACTGGTCCCACCTCGTTTCCCTGTCAGATCTATTTAGATTGTTTCTGCCTCTGACTTACTTTTTTTGCTGCAGTACTTCATCAAGGGTTTCCTGTTTGTCTTGCAGCAGACGCTGGAGATGCTTCATTTCTTGCTGGTACTGAGCAGTCTTCCCAGCAAAATCTTTCTCCTGCTCAGTCAATTTGAGACTGATATCTCCAAGTTTCCCAGCTGCTCTCTTTTTGTAGAGCTGTAGAGTTAACAGGAAAAATGTTACGATAGGAGAAATAAGAGCAATTTATTACCAACAAAAGGAAGTTGAGAGATCAATTTGCAGTTGGATCTTTTCATCAGTGATGCTTTTCATAAACCCATCAGGTATGTTGCATTACATTTGTTGTTGTTGTTTTTTTTTTTTAACCTATTTGTTATGGCATTACGCTTGCACTTTGTTACGCATATAAAACCAGTGTGTGTCCTCTGAATACCATACAGTATGGAAAAGCTTTCTCAGAGAGTGGTCAGGCACTGGAATGGCTGCCCAGGGAGTTGCTGTCCCTGGCAGTGTTCAAGAGATGTTTGGATGAGGAGCTATAAGATATGGTCTAGTGGCTTGTGGTAGCAGTGGTAGGGGGAGGACAGTTAGACTAGATTCTTGTGATTCTATGATTCTGAGTGAAAAGAATCAGACGCAAAAAAACTACGTTTGTGCAGAGCTATACTTCACAGAACTCAAAATTATAGAATGGTTTGGGTTGGAAGGAACCTTAAAGATCATTTAATTACACCCCACCTGCCACTAGATCAGTCTGGAAGCTATGTGGTTCTTACCACTTGTCCAGCAATTATATTTATCAATGTATTCTATGAAAAAGTGTGTGGTGTTCTCTAACCATAATACCAGGAGGTAGGACAGAGTGCCTTAATGATTGAAAACAACATTGCTGTTTCACAAACTAGTTTGTTCAGTTTACTGAGGGCACAAGTCATTTCATGCACATTAGCAGTAATAACCAAATATATGGGTCTAATCTCAAAATAAAGACAAATACTTTTTCTGTAAAGTGATTTTGCTTTTAGAAATAACTTTTCCAATCAGTTGCATACCTGTATGAGGAACTGAAAAATATGGCATGCTGTGTATTTTTACATATTTCTATGTTACTTTTCTCTTGATAAAAATAAATGTTTTCCAATATCAGCTTTTTTTCTTGTGGTTGCAACCACAGTGCTTTAAAGTGGTAGTATATCTACAGAATGTAAAGTTTGACATTGTCTCTAAGACCAGATTTTGGGGGTGGAAGCACCTCCTTCAGTAAAACTGCAAAATATTTTTTGAAGCCTTGAAAATGTTCCTATTTTTGTCTTCCTAATATGAAGTTTTATCATAGGCTTTAGCCACTAAATTTTCGTCTGAATCAGAGCAAAAAAAAGTCTGAGTATCGCTTATGTGGAGAAAAATATTTAACTTACAAGATTCCCAAGAGAGATCTACAAAATACAGAATGATATGATTGCACATTAGATAGAATGTGAGGATAAAGGTAAATCTGTTCTTTCAGATTTATTTTGCTTGAGATGGTTCAAAGCTGTATCTGATACGTAACCCATAGGCTGCATTTGTCAGCTCTACTTGCCTGTTTTTTATTTGCCAATTGAATTTGTGCCATATGTGCAAAAGGCAAAAATTCAGTACTTTTTGGCCATGATTAAAACATGATGCTAGGTGTGAAGGATACATTGTTCTAGAATTGCTTATAACTAAGTTGATTTGAAATGCGTAAGTTGCCTCAGTAGTACTTCAGCAGGATGGCTAAAGAGGCCCAACCTGGACCCATGCTCATTTTGAGGGAGCCAGACCAAGTTGGTGTGGTGCTGGGCATGCTGACATCTGCAACTGCAGGCACTCACAGAGGTCCTGCATTGTTCAGAACTGTCTCGTTAATTTTCTCTCAAGTAAAGCAGGCAGTAGTGTATGGAGATAACAAATTGCAGGAAGAGGGGATAACACAGCTGGAAGTGGTGATATTTTCTCTAGTATTTAAAGGCTAGGCTGCCTGTGATTACAGCATCACAGGTATATAGCAAGCAGTAAAGATGAGCGCTAATGTTGGATGTAGCAGCTGGTACTGAAGGGGATATAACCTACACTCCAGTAAAGAAGTTCTGAGAAGGTACATTCTTGGCAGTCTAATTCTGTTACGCTTTGCATACTGAGTCATGTGAAAGCCATTTATATTATAGTACACATCTCCTGTTACTTCTCTTCCTGAAGTAACAAACAGTTTTAGACCACCGTCTTAGTAACTGTGAATAGAATAGATATTTGGAGTCTATTTAAAACAACTGTTGAATAAAACCATTGTTAAAAAAAAAAAAAAACATGACCTACTTAAAAAAAAAAACCAAGTGTCATTGCACGATAGTTCATGTTGTATATGATAATTTAGAAAAAGAGATGCAAAACCTGTACAATTGAGCTGCATCTTTTCTGATTATAAAGGGAAAAGGAGTTAACATTAAATGCTCTGCTCCATAGTCAGACTTGTTAATGGTGTTCATTCAGTGACCTAGCTGACACATGCAGTATTCAAGTACAATGTAAGAACTTACTTGTGATGAATGATGACTGTCATTTCATTTTTTTAAAAACTCAAAATCAGCATCTTTCATAACAGCACTGACACAGAGTTGCTACAGAATGTTCAGGTTAGAAATTCTTTACCTTCACTTTTTCTTCCAACCTTCCTAAGCGTAGACTGCCTTCTACTATTTTGTTTAGAACTCCATGGTTCTCGTTTTCCAAGCACTTGGCCTTTTGGGAAAAATAGTGTAGATATAACGAAATATAATCATTACTTAAGGCAACAAAATACATAGGTTGAGGAAGACAAAGCTATTCTGTTTTGAGTGTTAAGAACTAAGAACCAGTACATGAAAGAAGATTAACAACGAGAGGGTGACCAACTTCTTACACAATCTAATAGTAATAGGACAAGGAGGAATGGCTTTAAACTAAAAGAAGATTTAGGTTAGATGTTAGGCAGATGTTTTTTCACTCAGAGTGTGGACCATTCCTGAGATCTTGTAAATAAAACAATGCATCTGTAATAAAATGCTAGCTAATAGACAAGTCAAGAAAATAGACTAAATAGAAGTTGTTCCAAAACTCTCCACAAGTTTGTCAAAATAACCGCTGACAAAAAAGAAGCATTAATGTGTATTTGCATCCAAAGTAGAAGGTCCATACATATCACTAAGGACCATCTGAATCAGAAATTCATACAAAGTATTTATGGTTTCATGTTATTCTTTAATATATGCCGTTTCAGCATTTGAAACCAGTATGTAAAATCAGATTAAATAATGGGCACTATTACAGACCCTAATGCTGCTGTGAATTAACGCTTAATTACTTTACCCCCAGAAACTGGGGTTCTAGTTCTAACCGCCCTTCTATAAAATAATTTTGTTGTTTCTATCCTATTTCCTATATCCATTTATGTAGCTAAATCAATCAACTGAAATTATCTATTTTCAGTAACTCAATATTAAGAATTGTGCTAGTACGATGGTAATTGACACATCATTTAAGTCAAATTAATGAAAGGTAATTACCAGAAAAATAAGATGATCACGTTCCTGTGCTATCTTTTCCACCAAACCGATGAGGTTTGTCAGATAGTGATGGGCTGCAACTTCTTTTTCGATTGCTTCCTCCAGCTGCTGTTTCAAAAGACCTATTCTCTTCTTTAATCGCCTATAAAATTAACAGGAGGATCTAAAGATTAGGCATTATTAATGGCATTAAGTGACGTTAAGTGCAGGTCAACTTGCACAAATCTTAAAACCAATCAGATGAGCTACTAAAGAAGTGCTATCTTGAAATGTTTTGAGTGCTGAAAGTATTACTGCCCATAACTTTGTTTTTATAATATGCTGTGTGAATAGCAACTGTAACAATTATTCACAAGAACTATTTCTGCAATGTCTACAAGCTCATAAAAAATATAACAATAGTATTATTGTTATTTTTTCAAAGTCTGTTCTCCCTCTGAACCACTCAGGTACATGTGAAAGTCTACAGTTACTGGAATATCCTGCTTTTCAGGATATGCACATGTGATTAATCACTACAGCTAACGACCATTACTGAAGATTCATTCTTGATTTGCATGTAAAGACAAACGTATGTGAAAATGTAAAAAGTTTAGAAAAGTTATTTAACAACCAAACCAAATAAGTGTGGTAAAGATGTTGTTTTTTTTTTTCTTTTGGAGATACAGTTGCTTTATAACCAGAAAAGAGACATTAGGGTGTGAGATGGTATTTTGACAGGTATTTTTAGAAATTTAAGTATTGAGAAAATGAGAACGTAATACAAAATGAAAAAAAGAGAAACCTGTTTGTTTTCTGTGTCACTTCCATCTCAGCTTCCAGGGTTGTCTTGTCAGCCAGGAAATTATTTTTTTGTAAAAGTAGTTTCTTGTTCTGAGCTTGCAGTGATGCAATCTTTCCCATGAGATCTTCCACCTCAGAGCGCTTTTTCTCCTGCTCCTGCTGTAAATGGCTGCAAAAACAACCATGTGGAACAGGATTCTTGTGTACACCTACTTCAGTATAAAGTCAAATTATGGTAAGATTATTGTGCTGAAGGTATGAAAAAGTTACATTAGTAATGTTTGGTGTTCAGTGGTGCCAAAGAATGGTTTTACAATCTGATGACGTACCAGTTTGTGAATGAAGCATAACATAAGCAAAATTAATAAAAATAATTCATCCTGGCTGCATTTGAAATAATTTTATAATTTATAAAACATATAGTCCAAAATGCATTTCCTGCCTATTTTTTTCAAATAAACTGTTAGGCACAACTTCTAGGGAAGGGATTGTACCAAGAAACAGTGAAATTACTATCTTCAGGTGAAAGAAAACAAATTTACAGAATGTCTTTAGAAAAGCATTATTTCCCAAAATATGTGTGACAGACCTTTTGTTTTATCATTTTCATACCGTCAGGGTTGAGATTTACTTTTACAATTTTAATTGTCAGTATTTTCAAAATACTGTCTTGCTTTTTATAGACATTTATTTATGTGTGCAGGTAACTATCAAAATACAATTACCAGCATATTTCTACCTACGAAACAATGCATGCATATGAGGATTTGCTCATGTGAATGTTCTGTAGAATTGTTTATTTTGCACCAAATGCAAACTCATACCTTTTTAAGTCATTCACCAAAGCAAAGTGCTCTTCTGCTGCTATTCTGCTATCTACTTTGGCTTTGAGCTCTTCACAAGTAGCATGTAGAGCTTTCAGCTGCTTCTGGTAGTCTCTGATCTGTTCTTCTTGACTCTGTTTCTTTTCTTCTAAAATTATTATCTGTTTGGTCAATTTTGAAGCTTTTGGAAAGATAAAAAGCACAACTGGGTACAGCAGAATTAATCACTTAGAACTCAAACCAATAATACATTAATTCACTGTTCTTTGTAGCATTATCTAACAATGGATTTGTCTGTTTATTTTATGTTTTAACAGTTTGGTTTTTTTCTGTCCTAATTTGTCTAGGAGATGTGCCAAATTTTTCCACAGTGAGGTAGGTAACTATAAATAGGAGGAAAGTCAAACTTTAAAAGCAGAAAGGAAACTATTTCTGGAACTGTGTGTCAGATAAACAGAGAATTTCAGAATTGAAAATTGGCTGTATAGATTCAATTAATAAAATGATTTTCATCATGAGCTTTATACTAACGAAACTGAATTAGATGTTTTTCAGGACATCCTAATCTGTAAATTAAGATTCACAGAATTCATACCTTCAGTCTTGCTTTTATTAATCATCACTAAGAAATCTTGCTTTCAGTACTAGGATTTTAAACTGTAACATGCCAGACTTTTTTTCTTAACACTCATTCGGAAGTCTATTATCAAAAATTATCTAGGGGAATTGGTTGAGATAGAGCATAATTATTCAACTAAATACAAGCCTCTGATAAAACAATAATAAGTAACCAAACTGATTATTACTTGACATGTACATATAAATCTAAGCAATATCAAACTATGAAAGTAAAATCACATGCTGCTAACTGTGATATAATCAACTATATTTTATCAGTAATAAACATAGGTTTAGAAAGCAGAAAAATGAACAGATAAAGCCCACAGATTCTAAATTGAACATGAAAGCCTGTAAAGTTTTAAGTGCTCTTGAAATATACTTTACTGATTTCATTTTTTTTTCAGTTCTGGTCACTTTTTCAGAAGAAGGAAGTCAAAACAGACTGTCCTGTATAGTAATCAGTAAGTGATAGTGACATTCCTATTTCCTATCAGCCAACGTCTGTCTTCAGAGTAGTGTTTTATAAGCATCTTATCAAACTGAGGAAAAAAAAAAATCACAAAAACTGCAGTACTGTTTATGGAGAGAACATGCAGTTGCTATGAGTGGAAGCTCAAGCACAAACCTTCTTGAACATGTTGTCTGTGACTATCTTTTGCTTTAGCTTGTTGAATTTCAAGTTGCTCCATCAACAACCTGTTTTCTTCCAAGACCAGCCTGGCCTGAGTTTGTAGCTGTTGCCTGCAATAACAAGCAGTTTATAAAATGACTGAAGTTTATGTCCAAAGGAGAAAACAACCAGCTTCCAACAGTGTAAACTTACAATTATATTTGAATGCCTTTCAGTAACAAATGAAAAACCTCCATCAAAAGCAATCTTAAAACCTAAGGTAAGCTTGCTAGAGACATAAAATGTCTTTGAAAATGTAAATTATTTGAAGTAGTTTTTTTACAAACTAAATAAAAAAATCACTGTAGATGGAAGGAAAGATACGTATGTGTAAATTAGAGTCACAGAATCAGAGTGATTTAGGCTGGAAGAGACCTCTGTATGTCATCTGATCCAGTCCCCTGCCAGTCTTAAGATCTGTAATCTTGTGCATTTGCATGGATCAAGCAAAACGATTAGTAATTTTTCATTTATTTCTCATACTATAACTTGCCATTCTGTAGTGGTAATTAAGTTATTTTTATTTAATTGCTCATGCAGGTCTTCATTTTCCTTCACCAGCTCTTCAACTTGTACTTTAAAATTCTTCATATCCTCCTGGAAGATAAAGGATTTCAAATTAAAATGTTTAGAGGTAAATATTTTGGTTTAATTTTTACATTAACAAAATATGCATGTCTGAGTGCCCTCGTAATTCCCATGTTAACTGACTAATAATTCCCATGTTATCTGACTAGTCACTCATCTTGAATTCATGTGCATATCTGAATTGAGATTTTTTTTGTCAAATGTCATTTGAATTAAGCATATTAAAATTAAAACATAGATTCAAGAACATGAATTCTGGAATCTACTAGATAATACTATACACTTCAGTATGAAATATGGCTCATTCTCTGGCTCCAGTTTTTGAAGGAAATAAATTATTCTGAATAACAGTTCTGCTTGAAGCTCATGTAGTTCCTTGGATTTGGTTATATATGATTTAAATGAGAAAAGATGAGTGCCTTGGTAATCTTTCTTTGCCTTTTGATCACTGTTTGAAAAAAGAGTCTCAAGATACAATTTTTTAATTTAAAGGCTTGGTGATAAAATACATTTATAAAGAGCAAAAACAGGCAGTACCCCATTCTTAAATAACTTGAAATAAATATACTACTTCCACTAAATCCAAAGCCCAGCTAATACAGGGCACTGACATCCCCACTATGAATGGCAGCAATAAATTCTTCTACCGGCTGACTTCTTATGGCTTACTCAAACTACAATTTCCATACATGGCAATACTGTGCTCAATCTGTATCTGAACAACCTGACAAAAACCAACAAACCAAGCGTTTTAAGACAGAAAAATAACTGTGACTGCTAAAGAAAAGGTCAGTTTTAATTTTAGGCAGAAAACAGCTTTGACAAATCCCTGAAAAATATGTAAGTAGATCTTTCTGCTTTATTTTAGAAGTATTTTTTCTTTGAATAACAACTTGCCTCATGTGCAAAATTTAAATCTTCCTTTTCTTTTATTCTGTCTTCATATGCCAACAGAAGAGGAGACAAATACTTCATATCCAGCTTAAGAAAAGAAAATTAAAAAAAACTCATCAGATAGAAACCATAATCTCATCAATAGTTTTAATTTCTCATCCTACTAGCTTTTTCATTGCTAGTTTTAAAAACTATTATGGGCTTTCAGGTGCCATTAGTTCTATCTATAATTAAGGTGGAGTAAATAGTTCGAGTTCCTTAAATTACAGAAAAGATAACTTAAGTAAACTTGCACAAAGTTTACCAAAATACTATTACTTTCAAAGGGACCTGAAAGTGCTTTGTTCTTAGTGCAGTGCAATTCAATTTAAAAACCAAGTTTTTTTTCTAAATGCATACTAAAAAAAAAATCTGTCCATAAAGAGGAATTAGTCAGCTATTTATAACCTAGTCATTTCAACATATCACAGAAAGAGTTGGTGAAGCTGGGAGGGACCTCTGGAGGTCACCTTGAGCAACTTCCTTGCTCAGGCAGCCACCTAGAGCATTGCCCAACACCAGTTCTTTGTCATTCTAGCTGAGAAGGTATGGTTTAATTTTATGGGTATCAATGACATAAAGCATTTCATGGATTATTTGCCTACTACTTTCTACTAGAGGACCTGTGATAATTTCTATCATCAGAATCTCTAAAATACAGTATATCTAGTATTACTTCAAATGATCTCTGGAGAGAATAACAATTCAGATTAATAACTAAGCAATAGACCTTGAAGCAAAGTATATGTCAGACACTACTCAGTGAAGATGGTATTTACAATTCTCACAGTAGCTGCTTTCATGAGTGCAAATTTGGTAATTTGTATGCAACTTGTAGCTTATCATTAGTTCACACAGAGATGCACATATTCACTGCAGATTTTTTTGCATTACATCTGTCTTTGTGAAACAAATGTTCATCAAATTCTACCACTATTCTACCACTAGTTCAACAGCATCACTAAGTAATATCCTGACAGTTTGAGTATTTTGATTCTAGTAAAGAAATTCTACTGCTTTACTTGAAAAGGAATGAGCAGATAAGCAAAAATATACTACTTACCAGCCATGGGGGTGGTGGTCCTTTAGTGGGTAAACTATTTAGTTTTAGATGCTAAAAAAAGATATTTAAAAAGAAACTTAAATTATTTCTTGCTTTTTAAAGCACCAACATCAGTCACTACAAAAGCGTACGACTCATAACTATTACCCCCAGACAAGCTTTTGTTTCTGATTATGTGTGTTGCACATACAATGCATACACAGTCAGCAAAACTGAAATTTCAGCATCTTACTAATGTAGGCTAACTTTTTGAAGTTAGAGTTAAAGGTAAGTGCTTATTCTGAATTTCAGAAGGAAGCCTATGCCATGTGTAGACTGAAGTTATTTTATCTGGATTTACCCCAAAAAACTCAAAAGTGAATTAAAGCACAGTTGGACATTACCATACAGACTGCTGTTACAACTAACATTCTTACCTCTTCTCGGGTCAGTGGCCTGAATTTAGTTTGATAGCGACTTAACTCTACATTCAAACGATGGACTGTCAATTTCAAAGCATCATTTTCATCTACAAGTTCTTGTGCTTGTTGTCTCAGAGAAAGTAATTCTGTAGTCTCTCCTATTAAAACAAATACCCTATCCATTTCAATCAAATTTCAAGAAATGTTAACATTGATTTGTTAATTTTAAGGAAAAAAATCTCAATAAACCAGAACTACAAGAGAGCATCTCTAAAAAGTGTTAGTGGGAGTAAACCCATGAAAAACAACTAACACAAAGAACATGGAATAACATTCTTTCTCACGAGCCTCTAGTTATTCCTTGACAAAATTAATACAGAAAATACTGTACAAAAAATCCTTCTGTAGAGCTACTTGCTCAAATCAGTAACACGAAAACCTGCTGCCCCAATAATGGGTTATAAGGAATTAGAAAAATCAAGCAAGATCACTAGCAGTGTCTCCCACCTTCGTTATGTGTCGTCTTCGCAGCTTCTTTAAGTTTTCTGTTTTCTTCTTCTAGTCTCTTCAGTTTTAATTGCTGTTCTTCCATTTGCTGTTTTATTCCCTCGAGTTTTTGGCCCACAGTCTGATATGCCTTGTTCAAAGCCCAGTTTTCTTGTTGTAGCTCTCTGAGCTTTTCTCTAGTCATATTTTCCCGTGCTTGCCTTGCACGAATAGAGACATCTGTAGATCCCAAAGTTCAATATATTTGAATTATATTCAGACAAGTACAGCAAATTTCAGCAAATTGTAATCCATTTTTTTCTATTACTGGCAGGAGTGGTACTACGTAAGATATATAAATCAACTGATGGCTTCCAGAAGATTAAGGTAAGACAGAATGTAAAAGGTGTGTGTGGGAAGCACTATACAGAGTTCACATTTTCTCTGAGACACTGTGAAAAAAAAAAAAAAACAACTTTCCATAAGGCACAAGGAAAACACGTGGATTTTCCTTCTCCCTAACACAGGTAATCAGAGAGGTGAGACAGAAATAGGCAATGCAGGAAGCACAGTGTCCATGTCTGCATAGGTTAGTTGATCTTCCTATGCCTCCTTTTGTTTTAATCAAGTATGTAATTAAAGCTTTGCTCTTCTTCCCACTGAATAAGTTTGTGTTCTTTATGCACAGAAGCTACTTCACAGTCCTCAAAAAGCAAAACTTTAAATTGCCTGCAGGAATACAGATACATTGTTACATTAGCAATAAGGGATCTACTTCATTTTTTTTCTTTCCTGCCATATGGACTAAACAGCTTATCTATTAAAATAAGAGCTGCAATTTCACCATTAATGACAGACTTTAAGAGACAGAATAATCTAGTAGCGTACTGTGTGAATATAACTTAATATAGTCACAGTTCCTTAGTATAGAAATATATACATGAAACAAAGTAATTTGTTTTGATATGCAGAGCTCTGTTACTGACATAGAGCAGCTTCATTTGTTTAGTCACACTACTTCTTGTGAGAAGGTCTGAGATACTTAGGCTACACAGAAATATATAAAAACCCATGAACTCCTGTTAGGCAGATACTTCTCCATTTATCCATGTGACAAGCTTAGGAGTGCTGTGCCTGAATTTGCTACATGGATGCAATTATTTAAGGCAGCAGCTGAAGACAGACCACACACCTCATGTCAACCAGTTCAGTTGCAGTGAGATACTTAGTAATGGTGACAGCCTTTAACATAGATGTAACTTAGGGGACTAGAGAAGTCCAGTATAACTTTCATTTCATTACATTGCTTAACAATCACTTACTTCCTATTTAAAAAGATCACTTAGATTGGAAAACAAAAACAAATTAAATACCCAACATAAAAAGCCTAGAACTACTGTTTTAATACATACCACAACAGTCAGCATTTTATCTGAGCAGGAAAAATATATTTCTTCGTGAATTAGGCTTACTGAGTATAAGCTGGAAAATGTATTTTCATAAACATGCATTCCTTGAAAGTGAAGATTTGCAGTAATGTCACAGAAAAATCAGAAGTACCTGGGGATGGTGGAGGCTTCTCCCGGATTAGACTTTCAGCTAATGATTTTTCTTCCTACCATGGAAATAACAAAAAAGAGACAGTTGGCTCTAAGTTATCGCATCTGAAACACACTGAACAGCATCAGTGCTAGAGAACTTAAGAAACAGAACTTCTGAAACAGTTCTTTGATATCAACAAAATTGAAGGTTGGACTCACTGCTGCACTTGTCATTTATCTGTCTTGCCATCTTGTTACTTACCACTGTTACTGATCACTCCTAAATACCTGAAATAGTATTTTCTTTTCTTGTCAAACAATTTCATAATAGCTTTAAAAATAAACCAGGTTTTCTTGTCCTAACAATCTGAATATTTCTCCCTCTTTTTAGTTCATATGAGAGACTCTAGGATAGTCATAAAAGATAACTGTAAACTGGCAGCTCTTTATAACATCAGAGCACAAAAGTTTCCAGAATGCATCACAAATAAACCTTCTTAGAAGTCTTACCTTTGAATTCAAGCCAAGCCGTTTGATGTCTGTTAAAGAAAAGCAGATCTGTGGGTTAATTAAGAATGAAAGTATTGGTAAGCCTGTAAATTCTAAGGGTGCATATGGATACTTAAGTACACATTATGTACTGCAAATAAGCACAAGAAAGTCCTTTTAAAATCCCCTTAATGGTTTATTAGAATACTAATGTGATACCTTACTTTAGCACTCACACTGTATAAATATAATCATGGAAGAAATGAAATTCAGAAAAATGTTCTTACAGCTGATTTTCAGACGTATCATTTGCTTAGTCCAAGAAAAATGACTAAAGATATTTTCTTTTTACCTACTTAACCCTTCTAACATTGGTAGTTGCTACAACTTCTGGGTTTTTTCTTTCATTAAAACTTTGAGTACCATAACACTCCAGTAGCATTCAGAGAATAAAATGGTTTGATTCTGGCACGTATATCAGAGATGTGGTAGACCAGACAGAGCTCATTACTCTATTTAGATGTTTTGTTTGTAATGCTGACTGTTAATAGATGTTTAAGAATATCAGTTATAGAGTAGATATAGAGCAATCTTCCCTCTATGCAAATTCCTATTTTTCTGCAACTACTAGGAGTGGCTACTTTGTGACATAAGGGAATATATCATTGTCATCTTAAATTTAGGTTATTCAAAAATTATTTTCTCCCATGATATTAAATGGTAAGGCATTTTACCTTCAAGTAAACTTATTTACCTTCAGATTGCACGTTTGACTCATCCATCAACACCTGAAACTGACTTTCATGAGATGTTTCTTTCTTCTCAGCATTATTACTAGGAGATGGTTGAAAATCTTCCTGTGTATAAATAAGACAAGCCTGTCTAAATCATAACACTGTTAAAATAGCCTATGACAGAGCATCTTGATATGTGTATGAAACCTTTACTATAATACTGTCTTGTCACATTTAGAATTATACTCCAGAATTTTAAGGTAATAAATGATACAACATAATTTTTGGCTTCAGGACTATACATAAAATATAGCCTTTCCACAACCAGCAGGAGGTGGACAACTTGGATCATATGATCTGTCTATTTTGTCGGCCTTTTTTGCTTCAGATCCTTTACCCAGTGCAGTCTGACCAGCCCTGAAGCTAGTCTCTGGATGCTCCATTCCTGGATGCATTCAAGGCCAGGCTGGATGTGGCTCTGGGCAGCTTGGTCTAGTGGTTGGCAACCCTGCCTGTTGAAACTAGATGATCTTTGAGGTCCTTTTCAACCCAGGCCATTCTATGATCATAAGGCAGTATTCTTTTTCAGCTTTTTTAGTTTGTTAGAGTCTGTGAAATTATGCTACGTTTGCACGTTCTGTGTTACATCCTGGTGGTGGTGAGGCAGTGGCACAGCTGCCCATAGGTGCTATGGATGCCACATCCCTGGAGATGCTCAAGGCCAGGCTGGATGGGGCCCTGGGCAGCCTGAGCGGGTGGAGGGAGCCCTGACACAGCAAGGAGTTGGAACTAGGTGGGCTTTAGGGCTCTTTCCAATCCAGGCCATTCTTTATCTAAACTTACTCTTCAAAAAAAGCTCTGCCATTTATGATGTTACAGTACTCGAACAATTCATGAGTAATTTTTAGCAGTCTTAGTTGTTTTCCCTTGTTGATTGCATAGCAACATCCCAGTATGCAACACACCCCTTCCTCCCTCTCCTCACTTCTCCCTGATTACTGTCTCTTCACTTAGGTGCGTTTTCCAATTCCTTTACATACATAGCATTTTATTCCTTCTGTTACTCAGTTACTTCTCCTTACGTTTTTGTAGCACTTTGGACAAAGATGCAAACTGAACTTTAAATGTGACTTCAGCAGTCTTAAGCCACTTCCATGCTTTAAACACACAAAAATCCACTGGTTTTTAAGATACAAGGTCATGTCTTCTGTTTGATTCTGAATGTTCTTCTCTCTGAATGGGTCCTGCTTCTTAGCACAGTTCTGAATCAATTACTGAGTTTTCACTATGCCTAAAAGTACTTAAGTATCACGCTCACAGTAAAATATTGGACACTTTACTAGATTAAAACATGTACTTCCATTAAATCTATAGTAAGAGCAATAATATCAGTGATTTCCTATTAAGAAAAATGTCCTAATAACCACATAGGGAATCTGTGAGGATCAACAAACAAACTTAACATGTTTAAGAGTAAATTGATTGTGAAAAGATGTAAATACAAATGGAATAAATAAGTAAATAGTAAGAAGAGAATGACAAGCTATAGTAATTTAATATTCACACTAATATATTACAATACAGTAAAGGAATTCACTGATTAAAAATACTACCTTTTTGTTTTTATAGGGAACTGAATAAATCGCATTGGTGCTAAAGCTTTCTCTCTGTTCCTCATTACTCTCAGAGCTGGATTCTGCTTCTGCCTCTCTGCCAGCATCTGAAAGATAGGTTTCCATGTCCTCATCCTCACAGTAACTGCCTGTTATTTCCAGTGACTGTACAGGAGATCTGTCACTGCCATCAAGTTTCCAGTTAGGCCTGTAAGTAGAAAACAGTTCAAAGCCTGCTTCATTGTTGCGAAATGCCAGTAGAGTCATCAGTCAGATGTACACAAGTCCAACAGCAGAAACAAGTATCTGCAGACAAGGAGCCTTAGCTATGCATATGCTTTAAAACAGACAACACTGAAACTTTTTTCTTTTCTAGTTTAAAGAAAGTACCCCACTAGAGACCAAAGGCTGCTAATTCTACAGCAAGAAGTCTGAAATAATAATTTAGCACAAAGGAATTACCTTATATAATTCAGATGATTCTTTGGTGATTAACTGTATAACTGATAGGCATTTGGCAGAAATAATATGTTTTTATGTGCAGTAGCTGTACAATCCAGACCTCCCTCTCTACATCACTTTATGAGAAGTAGAATAACAGCTGTGGACACTTTGGACTTAATTTATGAAGTAAACTGGTTTTAGGATTTGAATTAGTTCTCAGTAACTCTTGGTTAAAATTATTTCATTGGAAGATTTAATTTCTAATTTAAGAGAGCAAAACAGAAAGCATACACTACCCCATTCTGAGCTCTGTGACTGTAGCATATGGTTCAAAGCCCTCCTGTTCTATGTGGGCAGAATCACCTTCAGAAAGTGATCGCTGCCGAGGCTGAGGAATAGCAACCGTGCGCCCTGTCAGTGTTGTTGTAAGGATAGCTGCTGCTAAAGCAGATCTAGAAGAAAATAGAAAAAAAGAAACAATACAGTATTGATGTCATCTCTGTGCTGCACACCTTATGTCCTCTTCCAATGTAAAATGTCTTCGCTATTTAAGAAAAGCCAGAAGTTCAAAGTTAAAAAAAACAACACTGACATTGCTAAGGGACTGAATTTAAACCAGTTAATTCCAAGGTAATGCACAAAACCAGGTGTGCTCTTACAATGCAAGAATCTAAGAGTACAATATAAATACCTATTAAGTTTTTCCTAAATCAGATGCACGAAAAAAAAATATTAATATACTGAATTACACTTCCAAAATTCACACCAAAAATTTACAGTACTTAGCATTCACTTCAGTACCTGGAGGCAGGTTGAGAAACTGTTCCATATTTTGCTATTTTGTCTCTTACTTCCCAGGAGAAAACTACTCGGAATTGTTGATGTTATTACTGAGGACTGTGAAGCTGTGCATAAATGCTGAAGTGTTACAAACTAGTGCAAGTGTAAGTAGATGGAAGTGCTTGCTAGTGGGATGCTGCAGAGCAGAGTGGAGTAACATGAAGATGAATAACAAATGGGAATGAAGATCAAAGGAGAGGAATGATGAGGGCTGTAATAGGAATGACAGCGGCTGGAGGTCAAAAAGAAGAAATGAACTGGAATTGACCAGGAATAATATGGACACCAGAAAGAACACAGAAAACAACCAGAAACGAACGGAGAGAAAGCAAAGAAGAAAAACTGCAAGGTACTACAAATGAAACTAATTTCATATTTTCTCTTTATACTACTTGCCTGCATTGCTAATTCAACCTAACAGTGATCTTACATACAAGTTTTTAAGTCCCCATTTTGTTGTTGTTGATTTTTAATGCAATAGAATGGCAGATTAGTAATGGTTAACTTAGCTTTTCTAAGGAGTAGAAAGTTCTTCATTCATGGTACTAGCACAGCTACTGTCCTGCATTGTATTATCCCATTTAGAAATGGCCCTAGCTTAGAAAAGTCCATTTGTCTTTAGTTGACTCAGATTTATAAGTTATATAGAAAGGTAATTGTCTTAATTGCTTATCGTACTTCGGAACAGCTCTGCCTAAAGACCATATTCATTTATGAGGAGGCTTATGTAAACACTACAACAACAGCTCTGCTCATCATGCATTCCTAGTGTGCTATTGCAATTGATGAAACAAAAAAAGAAACAACTCAAAACCTACCTGAGCCTTTCTGGAGAAGGGTTTGGGCTACGAGGGGGAGGGGTGCGGGGAACTGCAGGTTTAGGAGCTATGGTGGCAGCAGGGACCAGGCCATGAGCTATATGTTTCTAAACGATTTAAAATAAAATTAGTTGGCAATGACTTTAAGGATCACAATGAAAAAAGTACAGAACTGAACATGCACAAGAACTAACTTCACAAAATAATACAGAAGGGAAGAACATTCACAGGCAATTAATGTGAACAGAAGACTTGAAATGGTTTTAAATGTAACTTCAGAGCATGTATGAATAGTTGCTAATGAAGGTTAGAAATGTAGTTTACGTAACAACTGTATACCAGTGACTGCACCTTCTCCACTCATTACATCACTAACTGCAAAATCAGAATTGCAATATACTCAAAGTCTTATTTTTGAACACAGACAAGAAAGACATAGGAGATGTTAATTTACTTCAAATTATTTGAACCTTGTTTCGCAGTAACAATTATTATACCCTGCATTGTACAAAAGGTTTTTTTTTCTCTTGTACAAAAGTAACCTGTGGTCACTGCAGCAGGAGATGAAGAAAGCACTATCACTGAACAGGTCTCGTGAGACTTGTCTTAAAAGAGTCATAAAGGCTCAGTCTGAACAGGGGCAAAAAAAAAAAAATCCCGATGAGGTTTTAACAGCACGTTTTTTAAATGGAGAATTTGTCTGTATCTTCTCCAACGGGATAATTAACAGGAAAACGGGGAACGACTCTGCGTTTCAGGGAGCCGCACTGCGCCCCGCCTGCTGCCACGTGCCCGGCACGCTGCGCGCCGCCCCGAGCTGCCGGAGCCCCGGGAGCATTCGGACACCGCCGGACACACGCCGTTGGGATCTGGGGCGGGGCCGTGGGTTGAACTCCGTGGTTCCTACGGGACAACCTGCGGTAACCGCTACGCGGAGCTCGGCGCCTGCCCGAGGCGGTACTCACGAAGGGCCGCTCGCGACCTCTCCTGAAAACGAACGCCATCGCGGCTGAGAACGCGCTCCGCCGCCTTCCGCTTTTCCTCCGGACGCTTCTCCCGGCACGACCGACCTGCTAGCAACAGTGCGGCGGATTTGTTGGGAATTTGCCCTCCGCCAATCAGCACGCGCCTTACTGCGGCCATAGCAACCTATCAGCGGCAAGCCCCGCCCCCTGCCGCCTCCTCATTCGCTCGGGGCGGTGGAGCTTTGTCTCCTCTTTTGCGGCCGGCGCTGTCAGTCAGGCGCGCGCTGCGAGGCGGGCGGTTCGCGGCTGCTGCTGAGGGAAGCGGGGCTTCTGCGCCTCGGAGCGCGGCGCTGCTGCGGGCTTCCCGGCTGGCCTGTGGAGCTGTAAAATCCCTTCCGCGTTTTTTAAACAGCGTAGCTGCTGCTGAAGTAAAAAGGTGAGGGAGGTCCGATGACGGCAAAAGGAAACCTCCCTGCGGCGGCGGGATCCGTGGTTGTGCCTTACGGACACGTGGTTGGGAATGAGAAGTGGAGGGGATCCGGGCTGGCCCGCAGGCTGCAAGGTGAGAGCAAACAGCAGGCCGCCTGTTCCTCGCTGTTGCCGAACTCCCTGGAACGTGCTTCGTTCCGGCTGTGGCCACGTCTGAGCAAGACGAAAAGCTGTTCGTGGCTGTGATGAACTCTGCTGTGTTCGCATTGCTGCTGAGCAGCTGGGCTGCAGCTCCACTGAGGCGCGGCGGGTGTGGGGCTCTGTGAGGCCGAAGTGTGTCGAGAGGCTGCCTGGAATCCGTAGTTTCAGAGCTGTTAATCGGTATTGCCAAAGGTATCAGTTTAGCTTCCTTGTGCTGGTTTTGCTTGAATGAGTGCTAAAATGAGTTGGATAGCCGAGCCAACAGCGTTACTGGCATATCAGGAGAGCTGCGTGGTTAAGTGCTTGCGTGTGTTTTTAAACTGCTGTATTTTTTATTCTTAACCTTAAGGGAAAACTAAACTCGTCTTTGAAGATGGCTTGGGACTCGTGGATTTCCATCTTTCCAACAGAATCTGTGTTTTATATATCTCTGAAGCAGATTTGGTTGCAGGGGATGAATTCAAGCGGAGATTGGTGCGGTTTAGGAATGTAAGTACCACAGGAGGAGAAGAGGAAGAGTTTCCAATTGCAACTTCATATTCCGTGCTTCTGAAAACATTCACATTGTGACTTTTTTTTTATTTCTGGTGGAGCTAAAATTCTGTGTTATTTCCACCTGAAAACTGAAAGATTATACATCACTGTAATGATGCTTTATTTAGCACAAGTACTGCTTGTGCAGCTTTCATTCTTCCTCTGACTTGCTTCTGTCTAACTCACGTTTGACAGGTTGGTTCTGTGCTGCATTGCATCAGCTTGTTAATGAGGTCTTTTTCCTACCCCGCCTCCCTTCAATACAGACCAGCAGCCTTGGTGGAATTGTGATTGTTGAGAAGACTCCAATAAGTGAGCAGTACTTCTCAGCAGTGCAAAAGCTCGTTGTGCTGCAACTTGGAATGGTGTTGCTTCCTGTGGCAAATCAAGAAGAAGCTTCTCAACTTATTACTCAACTTGTAAGTTCTTATGTTAGCGGAGAGACACTTAATAAAATACGGGTAGAAAATTACCTATTTGCCACTCAATCATCACTAGTTTTTTGGAAAAAACTTGTGATTTCAAAAGAGCCCAACATTTGGTTTGATGTAAGGAAAACAAATCCTAAAATGCTAATAGGTAGTGCAGTTCAGTAGGAGGGGGAAGCAGAGGAAAAAAATGGAAGAAGTTGATACAGTATTTTTTGTTTGTGATCTAGCACTGGGATGCTGTTGGATAGAACCAGGAAATCCATACTTGTCTGTCAAAATCAACTTGTGATTTTTCTTTTTTCTTTGCATCAGGCTGGAGAAATTTCTTACGTTGTTTCTCTTTTTTACTTTGTTCTTTCTCTGATTGCATCAATTGCTTGAATTCACAATTTAAGTTAAGAAACCGTTGGGTTTCCTGGCGAGGCTTTGTGGGTATGCACTGAAGCAAAAAAACAGAGCTCCAGTAGAGGGCATTTGGTGTTGCTTATGGTTTTGTTTTGCTTCAGGTCCGTGAACAAAGTAAGGATCACACCAGTAACCCCTTTCTGCGTAAACAGTGCTCACAGCTGGCTGAGGCGTCAGTGTTTCGGACAGTGCAACAAATCCCAGGAGTTGGGAAAACGAAAGCTCTGCTTCTACTGCAACAGTTTGGAAGCATCCACCAGATTTGTAATGCATCTGTCAAAGAACTCGAGCTAGTAGTTGGACCAACAGTGGCACAACAAATTCATGCGTTTTTGGGTTCCTGACTTGCGTGTTGTGCTGTTCTTGAAAAACAGGTTGCTTCTGTTTCTTGTGAATTCTAAAATTTTAATGATAACTTAGTATGGTAATTTCTATAATCTCGGCAACAACTAGAGGGTGCTGAGTAATCACCTGGTTTGCTCTCCTCTTTGTAGCTGTTCTGGTCATTTGGATATAAACTTGTACCGTCCTCCTTAGAACTATGCTCTATTGTGTAGAAGTTTCAGATGAAGGTAATGCTGTCATACTGCCTTGGGATTTATGTAACCATTACATTAAGGAACTGGTAAGAGATCAATTCACACTGCTGGTGTTAGTATGTTTTTTTTAGGACCTTTTAAATTAAATATTTCTTGCACTGTACAACAGCTGAGTACAGTGATTACTTCACATCACAACCAGCAAGGCAATGTAGCATTTGGTATCAGCTAACACAGCTTGCTTTAGCTGTTTATTTCCACCTGTCTGTATGACAGGGCTTCTCAAACATCACTTTGTGTTTAGTGCTACCTAAATACATCTTTGACTACACTAACTTGTTTCCTTAGTTCCTTTTTCACTCCAAAGGATGTTACCAAACTTATTCCTTTGTATCAAATTAACTAAGATTTTAGATATTAATATGCTTTTGTATGGGATGATTGATTATGACATTAAATATAGCAACTACCATATATTACAGTGGGAAGATTTGACCGTTATTTATCTTGTGCTTCCAGTACTAATCAAGAGTAATTTATGAAGTGGACTGGTGTTCCTGACATATTGCATTATATTTTAAATGGTATCTAAAATTTTTATTGTCGTTATGCACCCATTCAGGAGGTGTTGTAAGTTCCTATCCTATCACTTGGGTTTTGGATTACAGCAGGAAGGCAGTTGAGCAGTTTTCAATTCCTGTTCATGAAGAGAACCTCTGTAACCAACTTAATCATCCATGAGATGATGGATTTGTTACTTATACTGATTCCTTTCTTGGGATAAAAATATAGTTATAAGATGGCTTTTCATTATTTAATTTACTGATAGTAAACATCAAAATTTCCTGAACTGAAAGACAAGATACTGTTTTCTCACTAGGGAATACTTGAGCTTCATTATAAATGTTTTAGCTTTTTTCTGTCACTGGTTACTAATGTTGCTATGGAGACTGGATTTCACACCCAAACCATATGTGGCTATTGATACTGCAAGGCAAACACCAAAGTATGTTCTGTACTAATTCCAGTGACCACCTGGCTCAGTACACCAAATAAATTCCAACTGAAGTAGTAAAAACTAGCACTACTAAAGTTAAAGGCTGAAGCATTAATCTATGGCAAACCTTGATGAAAGTGCTGAAGTCCTAATTTGCTGTGAAATGAGTATTTATCTTGTTAGCTATTGCCTCCCACTCACTCTAAAATTAATCTTTAAATAGCTGTTAGAAAACAGTAAATATGTATTCGTGTGGTACTTAAAAGCCCAAATTTTTGCTTGAGTGTGAAGAAGACCCCCAGCCCTGCATTTCCTCAGGGACCAGTGATGGTGGGAAGGGGAAGGCAGTTAACCATGCAGCTGAGAGACCTAAGGAACGGAGATACTTTTATTGAAAGGAGCATTACAGAAACCTGCAGAGGTATGTTAACAGTAAATAGTAAAAACTTGTAACATGTTTTATTTTCCAAGCAGCAGTAGAATCAAAGAGCCACTACCCAATGGCAGCATTTGATTTTTATTCTTAAATAAGTCATTAACATATTTACACCTATTATTAAGAAACTAAAAACGACACCTTTGAAGTTTGTACCCAGACACAAGCTTTCCCGTAAGTTTTGAGTATCAAACAGCAAATATCTACTCTGTAGATAGCAACATTAACTAACACTAAAGTGTTAGCAACTTTCAATTTATTTCATAAAATAGAAGAATTTAACAGAAATACTCAGAGGTTTTTCATGTCCTTGTCAATACATGCTCATGAGCTGTTCCAAGAAGTAGAAGATTTCATATCAGTTTTCTTAACTGGCATGATAATAGTCTCCCACTGTGATTTCTAAGTACTTTTTTCCCTCATGTTTTGAAAGTGTCACTACAACTTACATATTCTTGGTCAATATACTAGAAAATGTCAGTTTTGAGATTTGTTCCACAGCTATCAATTTTAACAAGACTAATGAAATGCAGATCATATTGTAACTAGGTTAAATAATTTCAAGTCTGGAATAAAGCCTGTTTTTAATAATGCACACGTAACCTAGATCAAAAAAGAGCAGAGTCAAAGTCCTTTGTAGTTCAAAAGACTGTATGACTTCTGAGCCTTCTAATTCTGTTCCCAAGTTATATCAGCTATTCCATAGAATATACCTTGTACTCTCAGAGAATATTTATGCATAAAAACAACTGTTAGACCACCCTTTGCATAAAGCTATTTTCTCTAACAGCTTCCTCTCTCCTTTGTTCTTTAAGATAATTCTGTGAAGTAGTGTTAAGCAACTTACTATGAACTCTACGTTTTTACAGCAAAATCATCCTTCACTGTGTTCCCTACTGTTTTGCATGCAGCATCAAGGTTGTAATAAATAACTCCCATCTACAATAGTTATAAAAACTGGTGATGATACTGTACTTTGAAATTCCAAAGGAATCCTGTCTCTGTGCAAGCCATTTTATCATCAACAAACCATTGTTTTCCATCTCTCAAACCTTCAAATTGACTCAAGTTCTACAGTTTCTGCCAAACTCTGATCTTCATAGTAAGTGAAGTCAGTGGCTGAAGTTATACATGTGTATAGATAAAGATAACATTGATCAATGTATTTTATATACATTTAAAAGAAAAAACTTCATGTTAACAGCTCCTTCAGAAAGATTCAGTACAATGAACTTTCTGTACCCAGAAGCGTGAAGGGAGAAAGCTTTTTCTTAACCTGAGAACTTCCAGCCACAGCTGAAGGAAGGCAGAGAGTGCTTGCAGCCTTCTGTCTATTTTTAGTTCCCCAACTTAGAAAAGGCAGTTTGAGTGGGGTTTTCTTGGCCTGATCAGTCTTGTTCTCTTCCATGGCTAAACAGATTAGGGAGTATGTCTTCTGCATTCCCACGGAGTAAGTGGCACTCTTGCTATGCTGTAGGAAAGAGAGAAGAATTATAAGCACCAGTCACTGAAAATGGGTCAATAATTTGAAGACAACAAAAGATTACTGTGCAAATAGTTTTCCAAGGCAGACTACAGCAAGCATTCTGTGCTAATTAGTACAGAACACAAAGTCCTTCAGAGCACTGGGATTTCTGGTATTTTGCCCTTGCAGACTGAAGGGGTTTACTGTGCAAATCTAAAATATTCACAAGTCCCTTTACAGTGGTGGTGTTGTTACAGTTAGTTACGCCAAAAGCCAGTAAGTGCTGCATGACATATACAGCAACCTCTCTACAACACTTGGGCATGCAGTTCTTGCACAAATCCCTCAAGGCGAGTCTTTGTTGTCCCTGGAGCCCAGAAAGTTTTTTAGAGTTTTTGGTAAATGCTCTGTGAACAAACTCCATGTTGACTGCAGCTATTACAACAAGTGCTAGTGTAGAATGTTCTTTTGGGTAATCTGGCAGGCACAGCCCTCTGCCTTATCTTAGCAGTGCCTGATTGTAATGTAGCCCTTTTGTGTCCAGCAGCAGCTTGGAATGACAGGTATGCAGTTCCTTGTGGTCAGTAAGGAAAATGAATTTAAAACAAGGAAATCCAGTGGCAGTGAGGGCACCCTGATCACTTTTAAGGCAACAGTGTTCTAGTGTCTAAGCTTGCCAGGGAATGCTAGAGGCATGAAGCACTGGATTTAGCTGAACTACATGTTCCCTTATCACAAATAATGTTTTTAGAACTTAACTTTTTTTACCTTGTGATCATATTTCCTTAGTCTAAAGTTTCTGTGGCAGTTTTGTGACTGACTAGACAGTTAAAATACCCCAAGATAAAAAAAATACATTAATCTGTAAATTCTTCTACAAATGATATAGGTCATTTATGCTAATAGCAAATGGAAAAGGAGCATGTAGACTTGGATGCTCTACTACACTCAGTTGTTTCATTATGGCTCTTCTTGTGCCAAACAGGATGGTAATTTTTTTTAATTCTCTGCAACAAGTTAGGGGAAAATTAATTGCAATATGAATTCTAGGGCATATTTAATCCAAGTAGTTCCACTAACACAGAGACACTAAAGTAAAGCTGCCAACAACAAAAAACACTGTCCCAAACCATTCTTATGCGTGCAGACTTCACTTTAGCTTGCTAAGTCATGATGCAAGTTATACTGATTTTAAATGGACTGTTTAAAAAATACCAGATGTTTAAATATACTATCTGTTCAATTGCAAAGTGGGATACCTAGGTGAATTGAAAGTAAACATTAATCAGGGACTGAAGCCAGGGAAAAAAAAAAAAAAGCCTCACATATCAAATCCATAAATGTATTTGCCTCATTACGTACCATAGATGCTGTTGTATCCTGGCAGCTGATAACCTCAAACTCAATGGGCTGCTCTCCCACACTTTTGAATTTTTCCAGTACCTCGTTCACTCCAAGCCATTTGCAATCCACTCCACCAACTGAAACAATGTAATCACCTTCTTTCAGGCCTGCTGACTGTCAAAAAATTTTGCATGGGTTACTATCTGCAATTATAAACATGTAAAATGTTTCTTGTCATCAGGCAGTATTTACCCTAAAGGCATTTCCCTCACAGCAGCCATGAAACCATTGTCTAGTCAGATCTGTGGAACAAAAACTTATAACTAGCATAAAAAGATGCAGATATTTCAAGTACAGAAATTACATATTTTGTGGAGTTACTGTTGATACATGTGATTTTGGTATTCCCTTGGCTAGTTTTACATCCTTTTTTTTCTCCCAAGTTGAATCTGTGGGGGTTTTTTGTTATCATTCCCCATGAGGCATGTTCTCCAGTTTTTATTTCTATTCTGTCAGCTTTTTTGTATTATGTGGTTGCTTCTGCCTTTGCTATAACTAGGCTGTAGTAACCTCAGTATGTTGATTTATTATTCCCTTTCATAAAACAACAAAATATCAAAAATCATGAAAGTGTTCTTTTTCCTTGGGTACATCCTGAGCCTCATCCTTACTGTTGTAGCTACTTTTCTTTATTTCTTCCAGTTTCCCAAATTAGATGGAGAACAACATACTTGCTTTTTTTGTATTTGGGACTTTCTATCTACTGAAAACAATGAAAGAAATGTACAGTAGTGTAATGTGATGTCAGGTATATAGATTCTTTAGCAACTAAGGTGTAAACTGTACTAAAAATGTGTTCAGATTGAATGAATTGACTACAGTGACACACACTAGATCTCAGTAAATATTCCATACACTGATACGAACAAGCTAAAATTACTTTTAAAAGACTGCAGTGCTAGAGTCTGAAGATAAATCATTAATATTGCACCAATCTACTTACTGCTGCAGAACAAACTGGATCAAGACAGTAAATCTGTACTGGTGAACCTCCTTTAAGGCTGAATCCCAGCTCTCCTGTTTCACAGTGGAAGTGAATGGTACGTGGAGCCGTCCATCTCTGCTTGGCTGAGAACACTGACAGCGGGCCCTGTAGGTAACACAGCAGTAAGCATGTAGTGCTTTACTGTCTAATGTTCACATATAACTTATACATGAGAGGTTGGTGGGCATTTCACATACCAGTCTGTGAAAAAAGTCTTTAACTTTCACCTTGGAAAACTGAGGAGCAACCATTTCTACTTTATGCTCTGTTTTAGCTAAAACAAAAAGAAAAGCAGATTCATTTTCTATCCAGTATTAGTTAAGACATAAATTTCTTGTGTTCCAAGCTAGATAGAAATTTACCTTAAATTCTTACTAGACTGTACAAAGACTCATTTTTGTGGAAATGTGCAAGACTAATTTTTAAATTACCTTAAGGAATACCTTCAGAAATCATAGCATCAATAGAGACAGTTTAAAATAATCTTTCCAATAAAACACTGATATTGTCCTCTTTATATGCATATGTATACATTCACATGTATCACAAAATCAGATAAGTAAACATCTGAATATATTTAAATAGTTAAGAGAAATTGTATAATAAAGTCATATCCCCATGAAAGTACTTATCTCATCCTTCATGCAAATATTTCATGCCACAACAGATAACAGAAGCACACTACTGCTACCACTGCTGGTAGGTAGCATCATCTTCCAACACCATCTTTTTTACCTCCCTCAGGCACATCCATTATCTACCCCCTCCTTTTTTCTTTCAAGCCTTTCCTAGATTTCCTAGTGTGATCCAAAGATTATTCTATTAGTCCCTTGAAAGGGATCATCATGAGACACTCTGTTAGGTATCTTTATTTCTAGCTGTGGATACTTACGAAGAATATCTGGAGCCTGGATTAGACTGAGAAAGTCATCTTCCGTCTCCTGCTGAGCATATTTGAGAAGTGAACGCTTATGTGCAGCTGTCAGAACCTCCAGAAGAACTTCAATGTTTCGAAGTTTTTTGCACAAACCACAGACTCTTAGAGCTTCTTCATGGTAAACAATGGCTTTGCGTAAATGTGCTTTCCCTGAAAAAAAAAAAAGACATTGAGTTAACTTCCACAGATGCAAAAAGAAAAGATTATTTTCATCTTTTATACGTTAGCTGGATGACATTGGCAATTACCTAGTTGTTTTCTCTGAACTTTGTCCTTTAAAATGGTGAGAATCATCACACCTTCTGGCACATAGTCATACAGCTGAGATAAGGCTTTTTCCTGCTGATCTTCATCATCATTGGACTGCACTACAAGAATTGACACAGAATTTTAGTCATTGAACATCTCTTCATAGCCCACTCCTTTAGGTCTATTGTTGTGCAGTAGCTACTACTTTCTTTGCAAATCTGGTCAAATATTTTTACAGATATATACTGATGTGAATTTCCAGCTTTTAGAGCTCATATAATTTTTATTAGTATGCAAGAACTGCTTATATATCAGAACAGAATCACAAGAATTGAACAACTTAGTAGCATATAATGGATTAATGGATGTAACGTTATCTTCTGTTTCTGCAAAAGTTTGAGTATTGAGACTGGCTCGTATCTGAACAGGAAATGATCACAAAATAACAGATTGAAATCACAAAGTTCCAGGCTCCTTGTCTTATTCATGAAAATTATAATTGTTTATGCATTTGTTGGTATTCTTTATATGAAAATATAATAAATCTACCATTCTTACATTCATGGTCACACAGAATGGTGGCAAGGAAGTAATGTGCCAGAGCTCTGTAATGGTCTGCTTTTATTTGTACCAGTTTAGACCAGGAATATGGGATATTCTCTTTGACTGGCTCCTGAGTCACTGCAGTGTTAACCATCATGTAAACCTCTCCCACCTAAAATAAAGCACAGAATTGAAGTATGAAAAGTTAACATTACTTGCTAGGAGCTCAGCTACTCAACTAAGGGATATTATATTAAGCCTTACGACAATTTCACATGCATCTCATCAAAGAGGAGAGAAAGAAAAAGCTACAAATGCTTTTGAAAAGGATTGTAACAAAGTTTTAAGAAAAAATGAAATTCCACCTCTGATTTCTTTTTCTCACAAGAAAACATGAACCAATTCTGTCCAAGAACAGATGGACTAAGTGAGCTGATCAATATGGCTTCAGAGTTCCACAAAAATGTTGTAGAATAAACAGTTACTTAATTTGCAAATACATCTCATCATGTTAATTCAGCTAAGAGAGTGAAATATGTCAATTACTTCACTAGATTTGCACTTTGCTTCTGAAACTGTGAAGTCACATCCACCCTTAAGCTTGTATGGTCAACTGGGCTACTATCGTTGATTCCTTTTTATCCTTTATGGAAATAGCTTTTCCAGCAGTAAATGCTGCTTTAATTGAATCCCAAAATCTTTCCCTGCTACAACTCTAGAAGTTATTCATGGCAGCTTTGCAGGGTTGGTAGGAAAGGCCTTGCCTGTGTTATCTAGTATGGAGCCATTTATACATCTGGTTCAGAAAGCATATCCAGATCTGTTGGCATACCCATATTTTGATGTCAACAATATCAAGAATGAATTCAACCTTCTAAGGCACAGCCCACCACTCCATTTTTCATACAAGTTCCAAGACAGCCTTGCATCTACCAACCTGATTCTGCATCCTTCTCCCAGTTACAATTTAGTTATTCTTTTGGACTTTAGCTTCTTAAGTTTGCATAACCTTATGGACAGGTTGAGTGTTCAGCACTTAATGGAAGGACCACACAAACAACTCTGCCCCTTTCTATGGTGAACTGTGGCCAAGACTGTACTGTTTGAAAGAACAATATAGTAAATTGCTTTTTTAAAAATCCTTTGACAAGTTTGCAGTCCAAGTGTTCTCTAGATGTTTTTATTCAACTTAAAATAGCTCATAATTATAATGTAATGATAACTGAATTGCAGGTATTCACGTTTTCATCTTCTAAAGGGTTGCAATTCTCAATACAACTTGAGTGCTGTCCCTTGCTACTTTGGGTTTTCAGTAGTGGTTGCTAACATCTAGGTTTAACAAATTCTGATAATATTCCTAGAGGCTTTATCTAGTAACTCAGCAGTGGAAATACTTATTTTAAAAGAGTAAGTATGAAGTCACTTATTTTACCTTGGCAACTTCCTGTGTCATTTTCACTAGTGTGAAAAACTCATTGCGTATTCCAGGGAGACTGATCTGCTCAAAAGCACACTCTTGAGCTTGAGCAAGCATCATCTTCACTAGTACATTCAGCATAGCTGGGCTCATGTCATAACTTGGTGTGTGAGTAAAGGTCTCCTTTAAGTAGCTTAGGACTCCTGAAATGACAACATTGTTTTGTTGGCATTACAAAAACAGAAAGAACTGATCTTAATTCTACCATGTATGATAAGAAGATCGAAAACATACTTTCTCATATTGAACTATAGCAAATCTGAAGGAATTCTTGGTGCACACAGAAATTAAAGTGACCTACTGATTTTGGTTTACATTCCTATAAAACACACAGATCTCAAAATTACAATTCAGGAGAGCATCAGAAGTTACAGCTTCTAAGGTTAGAAGTACTTTCAGATTTGCTTGTAATGATTCTTGGCACTGACCAGAAAGCTATGCTAAACTGAATGCAATTTTTATGTGGGAATGGTAGGCCAGACCCACATACAGGACAAGAAACAAAAAACATCTGCACAGGTTTAAGTAGAATCTTTCAGTGGAGGGAGAAAAATATATATAAACTTATTAATTATGAGTCTCTTTTGTAGATGCTGCTAAATTCACAGTGTATCTGAATAAAAGCTCAGTTCCATCCTTTTAAGTAAACTAGAACAATATATTTAATAGGGAAAAATAAGGCTCTGCTCTGCTCTGTTTGGTTCCATCAACATCCTAAACATTTTTATCATTTATCAAATTAGAAACAAATACTAACTATAGTACAAATATTAAGTAACAGTTACTGGACAAAAGTGTAACTTCAGCATGCACGTCATCCAACTGTTTTAGTGGGTTCTACCAGCCTGCTAATTGCTGATAACACTACCCAAGTGTAATGATAAGGCCTCTGCTTTCTAAGCATCCCACCTTCTGTAATCTCACATCTTATCACTTCTTTTTGTTCTGCCATGTTGCAGTATGTTTTCTACCACCACTTTCTGGTATTTCTCAATTTCTATGTGATGTTTGCATCTTTTATCTTGTATGTCCTTACACAAATTTGGCCATCTCTGCATCTCCTGCATGGTGTGACCACATACTGATCGAGAGCCCAACTGAAAGCAACTGGAAGTATAGGAAAAAAGACCCATTTTTTTTGGTTCTCAACACAGTTCTGCTCACATGGGACCTTATACACACTGAAAGCTTTGTTGAGGATAAATTCTGTGCAACAATTTCCATTCAGAACAGAGCAATGGTTAACACATGCTCTGTATCACATGTCCAGCAACACAACGAACAGTGCCACAGAGCCATGCACAGGTACAATGAAACACCTCTGCATTGCTTTGGGGCCCCACAAAGGTACTCTGGTAGCAGATGATGCATTTCAATTTGTGAATTAGTTCTGCTATGTAAATATGCTGAAGTAAGAATCAGTTTCTTTTCTTGCAAAATGGAAGAAATAGCAGCAGAATGGAGACATTTCTTTGAATTTTCTTGTAAATGAAATACAAAGGTTGAAAACCAAAATCTATTTAATAAATGCATGAAGAAACATTATCAGATCTTCTGGATAGCCATTCTGTGTATTCAAAAGGAGTCCACAATTTGTGGCTGTTAAAGCTACAATACAGTGAAAAACAGCTGCTGAAAAAAATATCTTACAGTCCATGTTAATTATGTAGATAGTGTCTTTAAGCATTATTTGTGGTACAGATGACATTTACAAAAAATTAGAAAATCTACTTGAAGAAAAAACATGAGCTTCTGTAATGTTATTTTGAGGCACCCAATTCCCTTCATTAGAATTTACATTTTTCTTTGCTTGAGAGAGAGATTGTTTTCCAAGTTTGCCTTTGGAATCTATGGAAAATATGCAGTCAAAGTGAAATGAATTGCAAGTTTCACCAGACAACAAAGCAGGATTAATTATGAAGAGACTATATGAAAAGTTATGTTCTAAGCCTTTTATCATCCTTTAAAACCGTTTCTTGTCCAGTGTAATATCACTGAGGTTAAAGCAGCTATATACATGAAACAAAGAATGAACAAAATGAAACAGCATTAAGGCTATTACTCAGACCTTTGAACTACAGTTCATTAATCGTTAACCACAGCATTCATTGTCTTTACCAGCATGTTTGAACTGCATTTCCAGGTTTTGAATTAAAGCTTCATCTCAGTCCTTCACTAGGCTTCTCAAATTTCCCTATTCTATCTTTTTTGTGTAAAAAAGTCAGTGGGAAATGCAGAAATCTGCAGGAAGTCAGGCTGAGATTAGGAACATTTTCATAAAGTTCTTCCTAGTTTTTATGTATGTCTACCTGCAGCTCTCTGAAAAGCATCAACAGCATTTTCAAGTCCAGTCTGGGTCTGACGGTTGCATCTTGTTCCAATCTGGGTGTAGAGGGCTCCAATATTGAATAAAATACTTGCTTTTTCCAGCAGCAGATTTTGCTGACACACGGGAACACCTGTGAAGGAATCATACCTTTGGAAAAATAATGAGAATATGTGTTAAGATGTTCAGAGTCCAGTGAACTACAGATACTTTCGTTCTGTTTTTCTGCTGCAGTGAAAATAAAAGGTGGCTAGAAATTCCATTATGTTTTTTGAGGACAATCTAGGTGCCACAGAGAACGTATTTAAGCCTTAACTTTCAGAAGGTTTTTAAGCAGTGTCTCCAGAAGCATGTTATGAAGTGCCTATAAAACTTTTCAGGGGCTGAGAGCATACTGGGGAAGTATTCCTATGTGGTCACCATGTTCTCATAGTTTTTATTAGGCATGCACTATTATATGTTACCATAAATTAACTACTGGCATGGTCAGACCCTATATAGCAAGTATTTTGAAGTTCCTTTTTGCAGTTAGACTGGGAATTTAATGGCTGCATGGCAGTTATCCCCTTTTTGCAGTCAAAAAAATCAGAATTCTGAATTCAGGAGTCCATCCTTCTTCATAAATACAGTAAACATTTAGCAAATGCTCCACTATAATAAAGTAAGTCACTCTTCATTCCTGGCCCAAATACCCAACAAACTGAAGGAAGGTCTGACCCCCATCTGCTTCAGGCAACAAAGTTCAGAGTCCAGGAAAATATGTGCAGTTCTCTAAGATTATGTTCTTTTTCCTTTGTGTAAACCTGTAACCCAGATCATAATTTAACACAGCATGAAAAGGGCTACGTTGTAGTCAGGTTTACACTTAATATTAAAAACAAAAACAAACACTGACAACAGTGGGATGAGGGTGGGGAAAAACACAGAAATGCTTTAAATTAAACTGAAGACAGTTAAAGATTAACGGTGTTCTGGGGGGGTGGAAACAAACAAACATGAACTCCACACTTACCATGTAAATAACACTCCCATGTGCCTGGTAGGTGGGAAAAATCTGTTTTCTATAAAACCCAGTTGAAGGAAATAGCTCATCAACATCTCAATGCCAGCTTCATCTCGGCTAGGAGTGCGGCAGGCCTTAAAATACAACACATCAGAATATGGTGTATTTGCTTGGGTTACAGAATGAATACTGAAATAGCAAGGATAAAGCTCTACTTCCTCTGGACTTCTGTGTATCACAGAAATGTGGGGAATGTGAGAAGAGTAAGCTTAAGGCCATATGGATGAACTCTAAATAAGTTTTTAATTTATTTCTTCTTTTGCACAAAGTAGCACATAATCTTTATAGAAAGAAGGTTCTGTTTGGCAAGTCTTGGAGCTAATTAAACAGAGATTGCAGGTATTTTATGAAAGGTACAAAGAAATTGTATGTATAATACTGGAGACATTATAAGATTGTAAAGCTGTGGGACAGTGGAGATTCACGTTCCATATCTCATAAATGAAGTCAATACGAATATGGTAAGCTATAAAAAATAGTGACATACACTGATTCTATACAAATGTTATTTACAACTTTAGATTAGAAGACCTTATGGAAGAAATCTCATGTTGCCATACGTAAACTTACTTGTCTCAAATCCACAAGGTCTGCTATTTCATCTTCATACTCTGAACTGTCTTCACTATAATGTTCCAGAATAAAGTCCTAGAAAAGGTGTAAGGGAACCAGGAAATCATTAAATCAACTCCACTGAGTTTTAAAACAACAGCATGTAATGATTTTGAAAAGGACAAATGAACTCTGTAAGTTAAAATAACAAGGGAATAAAGTACCATAAAAAACTTGTTAACAGAAAGAGACTACTAAATTCTTGTCAATTCCACTGAAATTAACATATTTTCAATGCCATAAGTTGCAATGGTACAATAACCTGGCATAGAAATTAACCTGCAGATGTAAAAGCAGCAACTTCTATCATTATATAAGAAGTAATTTTTCATGAGGTAAAATCTGCATTGTGCAATAGATGGTAGTCCAAAAATACAGAAGGTTGCTAAAACAGCTGGCAAAGCCCACAACAAGCAGTGACAATGCTGCAACACAGCTTCCCAACTGAGCTGGCTCAGCTAGAGGAAACTGAAGTATCACTGTATTATGCTCAGTACAATCACTGTTACTGCTTCCTTTGACATCTAGAGTAACCTTAGGGGAATCAGTAGTCTTATGGGAACAAAAAACTGAAAAAATTGTTTTTTTTTTTTCCTACAGTCACCTGCTACTTAGAATCACACGTGCTTAAAGTGCTCCTGCATTGCATATTTAACCTACTGCTTCACCCTTGAAGAACCTAAAACATAAAATGTAAGTCTGAAAATAAAGACAGAATCTAAATATCCCCAGAGGGACAAAACCATCCCATAGTTTCACTGCAGGCTGAGAAGAATAAAATTACACTAAATTCTCATACATTGTTTAGACTGTTATAGCTTCTCAACAAGGAAGATGTGCTTGATTTAAAGGACGTAGTTCTTAGTGCATGTGAAGTGCTGCACAAATGTTAAAACCTTCGTCTCCACTGAGTACACCAGTTCTGTGTGCCCACTTTGCACAGAAATGTAAATTAAGACACAGGGCAACAGCCCAGTTAATCACTGGGCAATTTTTAAACACCTTGGGATCTCAGTTCTAGGACAAATACAACAACAACAACAAAATTATACATAAACTACTTCTTCAAACAAATTTGAAATGGAAATTACTCCATTAACTATTTATTCTGAAATATGTCTCAGAAATTTACCTTCAGGGGGAGCGTAAAGTCTACTTCTTTGGTTTCCTTTAGGCCAAGAGGTACCAAGGGAATGCTGAAAGTCCCTCTATGGAAATTAATAAGATAATTACTTTTGTTTCATTTGTTGACAGAAAGCTAGCATGCCAATGGGTGTTAAGGTAAAAAGTACATAGTTTACAACAGCTCTGTCCTTCCCAAGAAAGTCTGCGAGTTCTAGAGGAGAGAGTGAGGTGCATTCTTCATTTGAGACTGTATTTCCACTAAAAAAAGGAGACTCTTACAAGCTGGCTTGCTGCCACTCAGCTCTGCCTGTGCTACATACCTGCACAATTATATGGACAGCTGCTACAAATCTGCCACATTCAGTTACAGTAATTAACAATAATCATCATTAGTATTTTACATGCTACCCATGTTCTCATACAGAGAATTGATATGTGTCTAACAGGGAAAAGCAGGGCCAGAGTGTACCAACAATGAAAGGCCTAAGAGTAGAAGAACTGAGCTTTTAGACGAGGTGTTAACCTCGTAAACAACTCAAGCTATAAAATATCAAAGGGCAATAAAATGAGAACTGGAACATTAAAAAAAATCTAACTTCAAGAGAATATGGATTTAAAACTGAATCACACTATTAAACATTAGCCAATGGAACCATCGATGACTGAAAAAAAGAAAATACCACTTATACCTCAGCATGAAAGCTACTTCCACTACATATATTCCTTTTCCTCTAAGCACATTACCCAATTACAAAATAGTGAGATCAGGATTGCTTCCAGGTACGTAGTTCTGTTTAGTAAGTTTAATGGATTGGTTTCTGGCAATTATGAGGTTTATCTGATATTTTCCTTTTTCCTCCAAGCTGTATAATCATCAGTCAGACTATTTCATTACCAGCACAGTGGCGTGGGTGTGATTCATTTACGGTCTTATCACCAAAGAGAGCAAAATCTTTTTCTCACTGGTGAAAAGTCTACCTGGGGGAGATGGGAGTAGCAGTGCAGCTTCCTTAGCAGTGGAGGAGTCTTAGAACTGGTTGACATGATCCAGAAAGTAGCTCTGCTAGTTTGGAAAGGCCTTCTGAGACACAGTGGAAAAACATCACTGCAGGCAGTGCAAATGATTTTATTTCTGATGAGGCTTTTAGAAGAAGCCACAACAGTTTTACATCACTTTGAGTCTATATTTTTTCCGTCAAAAGGAAGTGATACATGCAAGCAAAATCCTAACTTACTGATTTAATGAATCCTACTGCCACCCACAATTCCTGTTGACATCAGCATTTGTTTCTCAGAGGAAGTTCTGTTTTTTTTTTCAAGTCTCCAAGGTGTGACACCCATGGAGTCAACATGGATTGCATCAGGGAGGCGTTGGACAGTTAGGGAGGTGGACCTTCCAGATCAGTGCAGAAGTTCCTCAATGTAACTGAGATGTGTGCAATAACAGGGAAGGCCAACACATCCAATTGGTGCAATACAATATCCTGTAACCTAGTAATGTGGATGTGACCTCATGTTGATGACTACACACACAAAAGATTCAGAGGATAATTATTTATAGCTATTTGCTATTAAAAGGCTGGAGAGCAGTTGCAGAGGGTGTGGATTAATTTAGCGGATGACGAGTAAAAAGCATCTACAGCTTAGAATGAACAGCAACAGAAAGGCAAAATAAAACAGATTGGGAAGTGGGATCAGGAGAGAAGTCATAGTAGTACGCAGCTGCAACAATTCTACCCACCCTAGGACCTACTGCTCGTCCTTCTCTGAGAATGCAGACACTTCGAATCATCTTCAGCAGAAAGTAGGATTACCACAGCTGGAGTCTCTCATTCCCACAGCCTTAACTTTCACTGCTACTTAAGTATATATACTTATATATATGTATATAAAGACTAGCAAAATTTTCAACAGAAAACTTTTGTCAAATAGAGAGTTGTCAAAGTTTGTCATGGGGTTGGGCAGTAGAAACTTGTACCAAGTTTCTTTTTAGAAAAATGAAATGTAGATATTTTGCATCAGGTTAGAATTCAGTTGAAATGTACCCCACTGAAACTCTGCTTAGTTCCTCTGCGTTCAGGCTTCTCTGTAATCCATTCAGAAGTTAACCCTGATTGAGGAAAATGCTAAGAGGGAACATAAATTATTCCCCCCTCCACAAAGCACTTCAGTTTGCATTTTGAGCTGCTAATGTTAATCAAATATTAAAAGTTTAGTTCTAGGAGCAGTAAGACATCTAACCATTAGAGAAATCTCTGCAATATTCAAGCAGTGAATAATCCTTAACTTCAAACTTTTATGTTTGAGGAATGTATTGAAATTTAGCATAGTTGGAATAACATCCTGATGCAATCCCAACTTCATCAATCTCTGTTATAGTCTGTTAGTTTATGCCTTTCTGCCACTGAAGTACACATCTTAAGAATTACAAAGCTGTTTTGAGCTCCAAAACCAGTGTTGTTCCTTTATCCTCCAGTTAAGGTTGATTGTTTTGTATGCTGCATCTGAGAACAGATAGATTTGCTAGGTTTGCTCTCTTTAGAATGCATTGAACCAAGTTAGTTAAGTACTGGAAATTCTGCTAGGTCCTATGTGTTTCTCCATAATGCCCCAAGACCTTTCAATTCTTACAGTAATCCACTTCACGAAGGGACTCTGTATCTAAGGATTAGAGGCACATACCTTTCCCAAGTGAAAGACAAACAACACAGACTAACCCTTAGTCAACAAATCTACCATCAAATATGTTCTCTTCCTATCAAGTATTGTGTTCTTTCAGGTTATTACTGTCCAACATTCAGATTCATCTAGAAACAGTTTCCTTTTTCAGTGGTAAATACAAGTTCTGTTAATAATTTAGTAACTTGAAACTTACTCCGTATTTTGATAAACTTCTACTGAGATATTAAGTCCTTCTAACTCCTCCTTTAAGATCTGCAGATCTGAATTTACAAAACTCAGTTCCAGTAGTACCTGTTCTCGTACTTTGTTGTTGGTGGTAGCCCTGGAGAAAGAAAGAGACATCATTTTTTTGTTGCTGAGCAACAGGTTTTGTACACAAACTGAGCTGACCCCATTCTCAGCATTTTTAAGATTTTTTTTTATCCCCTCAAGAGATGATACAAGACCTCATGTTTCAGAATTTATTAGCTTTTCTGTCAAAAGAGAACAATAGTTTCCAGATAACAGCATGCACCTAGAAGGTTTGTCACATGCTAATTTTTCCATGAGATAGAGAGTCAGTATCATTTGCAGATACATTAATCAACAATATTAAAGTATCTTAAAAAGAATCCCTACCTTATTTTAAGATTATGTGGTCTCCTCCTAGAAGAGGATGATGGGTAGAGAAGGGAATTTGGAAGTGTTTTTTCAAAAGAGACTCACCCACTTTATTAATTGAATAATGATCTGCTGAGACTTCAGATCTTAGGAATGAAAGAAAACTGTTTTATGAGGAAGCTGTTAGTACACCATGCATTACTAGCAAGGATACAGGTAGGAAGATATATATTTTTTTTGTAATACAACATATTTATAATATCTTTTCTTACGCAAATAGGATTTGCTTGTTCCTTTGCCATCCATATATTTACATTCCAACTTCTAGGACGCCTAGCACAGCGGAAATTAATACAGCCCCACAGCATTTCTGTGTGATTTATTATTTACATATTTCATTATATCCATACTTCTAACCTGATTCTCCATCAAGCATTACTGTTTACAAGAGACTTAAGCTATTACCAATAAGTACAGACTGAACTGGAAATAAAGGGCCTTGATTCATATCCAGCTTTAAGATATTTTACCCCTTTTTAGACAGATTATCATCAGACAACAACAACAAAAAAACTTATTTTAAATTTGCAGCATTTTATATTTACCTTTAAGTTAAAATTAACCTTCATAAATATTCATGAACAACCTTATGATACATCTAGGCTTCTCATGCACATCCTCCAGTTTTACAAAGTATCTTGGTGAAGAACTGGGAATTCCAAGGATTAAATTCTAACCTTGCACCTCATATTATAAACGTGCTTTATCTGCAAGTTTTCTATTTCTATTGTATTCCTGAGGTTGATTAGTTTGAGCAGGGTTTAAATCTGCTATCTGCATAATCCACACTGGATGTAAATACAGAATAGAAAGGATCTTGAGCACCATGTAGATAACTAGGTGAGCTTTGATGCTAGTAGCAGTTTAGTTACAGTATTTTTAAGTCTCTGTTTGGTCTAGCTTACCAGCCTCCACAGGAAGGATTCTAGTATCTCCCTCAGAAACCCCAATGTTCTATCCAGGTAAACATCTCCAATATGGCTGTATTGCCCTCAACATGGTTCTCTTGCTGTTACTACTAGCAATAAAATTGATCAAACAGAGCAAGACAGAGTTAGATTGTTAGAGCAAGTCTAACATGCAGCCACTTGCTGCAACAGTGCAGCTTTGGAAGTGCACTTTACAGCAGGTAATGTCCCAACTGAGATAAGCAGGGAGATTCACAAAGTGGCCAGCAGTAATTATTTAAGTCTCCCTCCTCCCCCACAAAAAAAATCATTTTGCTCTCAGGCTGAAGGACTGGGAAGGATGGCACATACCGTAACAGATTTTCGGCACCAGCTCTCATTCTTACTGCTCTCAAGATCTGCTGGTTTAGGACAGCTCTTTGATTTTGTAGTTTGCTTCGACCAGTCTCAGCAAGAGGATTACATCCCTAGAATTAAAGAAACAAGTTTTGTTGTTACACCATTCTGAAAAATGAGTAATATTGCATTTGAATTAACTCTGTTGGCATGGGTACTGTATAAATACCAGTTACCTATGTTGACAACAATGACAAATGACTGTTTTGACAGCATTTCCTTTCTCACACTTGGTTATTAAAAGCAGAAGAAATGCCATGACCAAAGCTTTTGACATTAAAATCCAGGCTGAAAGAATTTGGTTTAGAGCTTATGCACATCTGAGCCAGTCTGTACTCTCCTAAGAATCCTTTGAAGCTATTGTCCAATTAGAACTGAATTTGACAGCACGCTATTAAGTTCCTAAGGGTTTTGTAAAACTGCTGTCTGGCAAGGCAGTAAATCTTATCAGTGCTTCTGCTTAACCTTTCCAAAATATCTGAGTTTCATACTGGGAGATAAAGCCTGGAAATACAACTCTATCAGAAAGCAGGATTTGTGGCACCACAGATTTAGGAACTTTTGAAAGGATCTCTTCTCTTGTTCCTTCTGGTGCTCAGATGTACAGTACAATCCACCCCTCTCTCCCCCAGTTCCTTTCTTTATGCCTTAAACTCATTTTTGGCATAGTACTGCTTATCTGCATCAGTCTTCTTCAGATCTAGGGAATGCTCTGAGATCATTAAGTCTGCCCTGCCCTAAAGCAACATCACTTTTGCACACTGCACCAAAAATGTGAAATATGAATAAACTCTGTACAATATTTCATCTGTACATTATCACAGTGCCAAGTATTATCTGCCCATTACTTTATCTTATCACCTGTTGGACAAACAAGGATTACATGTGTCTGCATCAACATCAAAAAAGATGGAACATGGAATGATATGGGATAGAGGAACAACAGACCTGGACAGGGAAATATGATTGTTACACCTTCAGATACTTAGCAAACTGAGCCCTTAAAAAGTAAATCATTAAATCCAGAATTCACAAGAATACTTCTGTGTACGTGCAAACCTACATAAAAGTAGAAGAACGAAGGTACTGCACACTTACATGAGGAGAACCAAGACACTGTATTCCAGAGAGAGCGATGATAAGATAAAACTATTATGGACAAGCAGAACTGTGTATTTGTCTGACTTCTTTCCAGGAGGAACACAATCTTAACCCCCCTTTTTTTAATAAACAGAATCCTTCCACTTTTTTTTTTCCTAATTCTTTGCCTCTGCCCCCAACCTTTTTTTTTTTAATGTTCATTTACAGCCAACCAGCACATCCCCACAGCCTTAACTGCTGCTTCTGAAGCAAATAGATCACTCCATCTTAAGGTTTACCCTTAAATGAAGCACGCCCTTTTGAGTGGCCTTGCTGGTGTTGTTAAGAAGTTTAACTGGGTCCTGCTGGATCTTGCATTATACACTAAAAAGGCTCAAATCTGTCTTGTGATACAAGTTTTCCCACAAGTACTCCAGCCACTAGATTATGAACAGGTTGGGATCTCCCCCTTACATGTTAACTGGAAAAATTTGGCTGAGACACAATAGCACTGAAAAGTTTCTCAACAAGCTCTAATTATGAGTGGTCAGGCAATAACATACCAGCACATCAAAAACAAGTATTTAAATAGAACACAAAGTTCTGACCATGACGTTTTTATTTGGGTTGGCAGGTGAAAGCAAACTGACCTGGCAACAGAGAAACAAGAGGATCAATCCAGTTCATACCAGCTTATCTGAGAAAGCACATAGCCTAATACAGCTAACTTTAAATCCCTACTTTTAAAAGTTTATAGTAAATAGGTAAAATGACACAAAGCTTGTGTAAATGCTTTCTGAAGCATCGTGTGCCAGATAACTTGAAAAAACATGTCACATTAAATTATTCTCATCATAGAAACATTTCTACAATGAAGCACCAATTACAGCAGAAGGCCAAAGCTCGGATGCATGCTACATACTCTCTTTGATGAGAAAGCATTGGTAGCAAACAGAACACAAAGAAGATGAACTTTTACTGGAGAGTACATGCATATTTAGCAATTTCGTTTGTTCACGTCAGATTAAAAGTAGTCTTTGAAGTACAAAATACTTTATGCCCTGTAACACATTTTTACACAGAGGCAAAAGCAAGGCACGCTCATAGGAACAACACGGCCCTGTTGCACCTACAGGTTGCTTTCTGCTCTTAGCCTGCATCATCTTCTGGGCTCTTGCTGTTCTTCCAATTTTGCTTTTTCTTCACTTTACACTGTATAGTCTTTCTCTACTACTGATGTTCAAAGTCTCTCCCCTTCCGTTCTATCCATGCCCCTTATCATTTGAACCTTGCCAATGACTTTGTCTTGCATCTTGTATTCAGCTTGAACACTTTATTCTTGGGCCTTTCATCTCTGTACCCCTGGGATGCCCTTCTTCCCAAACCCCTTAGTCCAAGCACCCCTCCTAAGTGCATCATCCCCCTGCCCAGTCTTCATTTTCTCTCCAGGGCTGCAGCTCCTCCCTAGAGCTCCCTGCCCTTTCTGTATGCACGAGTTTCCTGTTGTCATTCCAATCCTTCTTTGCAGCTTTACTTCTGGGAACTTTTTCAGGAAGATCACCTGCCCAATTCTCAAGCCAACAAAGCTCAGCAGAAGTGTTTGGTTTATTTCCATGGACGTTAAATGAAGGTCCAGCCCAGAAATCAAACAGACTCCAGGTGAATACAGAGTGCAAATCTGCAGTGACCTTAAACAAAAGCAGCAGAGGTGTTTCCCTTCATTTCAAGGCCAGCCACTAATCACTGTGTGATGCCCTAGTGCAAAAAGAATCCCCTGAGGCCTAAAAGGAGAAGGCACTGACTAACTGAGGTATCTGGATCACCCCCTGTATGCCCCAAGTGCCTCACTTCTGAAAGGCTTTGTTTGGACAGAAGAATGTTTTCAGAGTAGGCTCTTCTGCTGCAAGTATATCCCATCTGCTTCAAGGCCAATAAGGAGCTTGCATTTGACTTCATGGAAAACTGTGCTTTTTAGATCCCCTCTATAGCATATGGGGATGCTCAGTACAGGAATGCAGAGAGAGCAATGAAAATAACCAATATCAGCAAGAAATATCATGGGAAATAGACGATCTGGAGAAGATTCCTCCTTGTATAAAGCACAACCTCTGTGTGCTTAAAAGTTATTTAAGAGTATCTAAGTAAAAGCTTCATTTTGTCTTCCTGCACGTCAAAGGTCCTTTCTCAGCCCGCATTTTGTAGGCAGCTCACGTATGGACATTCCCAAGAATGCTGATGTTCAGTACATTAGAATAGCTGGCAGCCAAATTTCCCAGCAGTTTCCACACCTACTGCTTCATTTCTTGTCAACAGGATGAGAGATGTTTCATTTAATTACTGTTTATTTCTTTGCAAATGTGAGACAACTCAAAGAGCGAAGTGGATTTTACCCCCACTCACACACTAGCAGTGTTATCAGTTCATTAACAAAGTGACTTAGTCACAAAAGTGATCAAGAATAAAGTATGATTGAAGTTTTCATTGCATGTTTTGATGGGAAAAAAAGTAGAGTAAATATACTTCTTGTAAAGACATTTCAAACTCTGCTATCAGTTTTAGAGCCCTTTTCCCTTCAGAACGTAGCTGCATTTCATGAAGAGGTGTGTTTGTTTGAAGTGTTTAAATGTTATAGTTCTTTGCCTCTGAAAAAAAAAAAATAACAGTCTCTTTAAAACCTGAAGTTCAGTTAACTAGTTACTCGATTTCTTCCTGCTTGGCTGAATTGCAGTATCAGGAAGCTGGTAAGTTTTTATTATGTCCTTACCAAAAGCAAGTCCTGTACAACAGTTTCTTACCATATGTTATGTATGTACCTTGGTAGATACATGCTCAGAAGAAACAGACACTGGTATGAGAAAAATAAACACACATCTGCTGATGAAGGCTATGCAGAGCCTATGCACATTTCGTAGCAATCCTCTGACTAATTAATGGAGCATGCAGACAGATTCCAGTGGGATTCCTGCTCATCTCTTGTTAGAATTAATGCCTGAGCTTAGGAGGCTGGATATCTCACCTTGTACTTTTAACCCTATAAACATTATCCCACACATGCTTATTTGGCAAACAGCATAATGAATGCCTCTGGGGTCTTGCTGCAACTTGCTGCCTCTCAGATGGGGCACAGCAGGAGATAAAGCAGAGCTACAGGCGGCTGCTGGACTCCATGGGATTTGGGAGAGATTTTATTCTGTGGATTACACAGAATAAAGGGGATAGCCAGACAAGCCTGAAGCTGGGCACTGCAGGTTAGCTGTCAATGGACAGCCTCTACCTCCCACCTGACAGAGCCTTTCAATCCCCAGTCTAAGGGACACAGGCAATATTTTCATGTTTATCCAAGCTTAGAAATGGCCCACCACAGAAGGAAGAAAGCTGTCAAAAGTATAGGTCCCAAACAGAGAAGAGCTGTATTTAGCTTCAATGCCTGGCAGATCTTTCATCAAAATAGGAGTATTTTTAGCATCAGAAATTAAGTTGCGATGCACACAAAAATTGTGACTGTTTGCCTAACAATGAGCAATCACAGGAGGCATCTGAAATTAGCATAAATATGACTTATGAGGCAGTGGTTTGAACTTTTGGACCAGTCACACACTGAGGGTGACACAGAGTTGAAACTGGGTGTGCCTTCTTACCTAAAATAAAACATTCCTTTCCAGCCAGTGCAACCTGTGCTGCTTGTACCCTGCAGAGCATGCAAATGGCCATAGCCCCCAGGCATTTAAACCTGTAGGCAACTTCACTCATGCAGGTAAATTCCTTGGCTGCAATAGAAGTCGTGGTACATGGCACCATTGACACTCGTATTTCCAATAGGACTCTAAACAGCTTCTAAATGATTATTTCCTTGCCATCTTCTACTACTGCAGTTGAAGAGATTGAGAGATTCTGTTAGTTCAAGGCTGAAATCCTAGGCACATACAACAACCTTTCAACAGTAGATGTCTTTAATCTGTGCTTAAAATAAGGAGAAGAGTGTTAAGGAAGAACTGATATTCCAGAGCCTGATCTAATTGTTCCATATTTGGGTATTTTACAGTTCTAAGTGTTCAAAGACTAATAACAATTTTTTATAATTAATAATTGTATTGTTCCAAACATTTTCTATACCACCTACACAATCTTGTCACCCACAAATCAAAATTAATAGTGGGTCTGAGAAGCCTGTGCCTTGATGACCCAAGTTCCAAATGATTCCTGGTTTCTCATGAAGGCCTACTTTCAGTTTTTGTTTTTTTAATTTGTTTATAATGAGTGGACAGAGCATGGCCTGATGTGGGGTGTGAATCACCTCAATATTGTTTCTGGCCTGGCTAGACAAGCAGAGAGAGCACAAACAGGCAAATAAATATTGCTCTGTCAATGCTAATGTTGATTGTTGCCTGGCTACTAATGACTAAAACCAGCCACGTTAGCTAAGCCCCAGTGGAAACACAGGTGTAGCAGGTTGGTAAACTGATCCATAAATCACAGCAGGGCAGGGGGCAAATCCTACACAAGAAAGCCCAAAAGCTAAGGAGAGAGAGGATTAATTAGGGCTGATTCACAAGCAAGTTATCATACCCAGCATCACTGTTATTTTCAGCCTGGTACTCTATTTACAAAACTACTTGTGTTCTGTTTCTAGCCTTGTCATCCTGGCAGGAAGGACTACCATACGTTCTTCCTTCTGAATCAGCTTGGTCTACATGATAATTTTCTTGACTCCAGACTTCCAGAAAGGGAAAAGAAAGCAATTATTTTCACTCAACTGATGTGAACTTAAAGGTTCTTTAAGCTAGCTGTCCAACTGCTCTACCTGTCCACACAGCTTTCCAAGACAACCAAACTGAAGATAGGATGCTTAGTGCTGTACCAGCATATGTCTGGAGACCTACAAAGAAGGTAAGCTTGAAAAATAAACACAGGTTTTTCCTTCTATTGCAGCTTCCTAATTAAGAAACCTGAAAAGTTTCAATCTGTATAAGACATTATAAGGCAATTAACCAAAATAGAAAAGTTGTATACTAAAAAGCTTGCTAGAAATCTCTTCCTTGCTCTGCTTCTACTCACCAAACAATGTTCTAGGGCTGATGAAACTCTAAGAGATCACCGCTCTGGTTTTGAATCCTGCAAGTGGACAAGCACAGCCTCACAGGTACCCTGAGTTCTGTATACTGACCTGCTCTTTGGGTCACTCTGCTAAGGCACACTGGTTTAGTGGGCCTATTCTGGAATAGAGAGAGGGGAGAAAACTCTTTTTTTCAAGGTGTTCTCTGCTTTTACCTTCTTCACAAGAACTTGTGTAAATAAAGAACAGGCAATCTGATGCAGAGCAATGGCAGGCTACATCATTTGGATGGAATAAGCATCTCAGGTAAGCAAAATGGTACATGAGAATGGGCCTTTAATTACTGTGTGTTGAAAAACCCTTCTATGTGAAGGCCTTGCTCTGCTTTCAAAACAAGTCATTTGCTCTTATCTTTAGTTTTGTCAGTACTTCCCACTGGCCATAGATTCTCTCATGGGGAAGAATGCCAGGGAATGGATCTTGACAGAGAATGGCATAAGCATGGCTGATTTACAGGCTCACAGCCAGAGCCAGGAGAAGAATGTGGAACTCCATGCAGAGAAGGCTGTGGCATAAGGTCGGTCATCCAGGAGCACACACACCACCCAGAAATGCAAGTACAGTCTGCCCTGTACCACAGGTATACTGAATTACAAATGTGATGGCAGAGAGAGACAGAACAATAGCAGAACCACTTTCCTTAGGCATTATATTCCCAGAAAGCAAAGAAAAAAAACTTTCAGCAGAATCTCCATCTGCTCCTTGATGGAAAGCCCAAGTAGGGTGCCCCTTCTACCTTGCCAGATCCTTTTCAGAGCAACAGCAGAATTTATTTTTCTTAAACATAAAATTCCTCTCAGAATTTTAGTAGTGGCTAATCAAATAGTTGAAGAGGCTCCCCTTTCTCAGGGGAGATGCAAGGAGAAGAGGAATAGTGTCATTACTGACAGAGTTGTGTATGCCCTGCACGGTTGTATAATTATTTTAAAACTAGGTATTATAAAAGGGAAAGGGTGGAGGGAGGGGTGGTCTTCAGAACCGGCTCAAAGGAAGTCAATGGTTTAAAGGAAATCACAGTTTGCATATGCAAAGATGAGGGGCCTTTGCCATGAGGAGAAAGGAGAGAATGGACACAGAGCTGCTGCTGATATAGCTGGGAATGAACCCAGGAAGAGGAAGAAAGCCCCAGGGCTGCACTGAAAGTTGCCAGAAGACACTGCCAGCCATCCCACTTGGGACTGACTTGGCAGTCACAGCAAACCTAACTTCCTAGTGTAGCAACAGGAGTGAAAGAAGGAAGAAGGATTGTGTTTCTGTTACACCATTTCTGCCTCTTGCCCTTTACACAAAGTCAGTCTCCACCCAAAAGAAAATAAGACTTTAGGAAATAAGTTTTTACATTTTTCATCTTGGGTACAGTAAGGATTGTTGTCTGGTATGTTGTATTTAAGGCTACAAAAGGGCACTGTGTCAGCTTTGAGCAAACTTCCCATAGCAATCCACTTATCACAAAAATATATCAAAAGTCTAGAACAAATTAATATTGTATGAACCACTCAATTTTATCAATATTAAGATCTCAGTGTATATACAACATTTTTTACGGTAGACAACCTCGTTGTGTACAGAATGCTTCAGAGCCCTTTTACGAGCAGTCCTGACACAAAGAAATATTTTCACCTTGCTCTGCAGCTTATGCATTAAAAAGGTCAACTAAGTGTTTTCATCTCAAAACACACGCAATGGCTTTTGGAAATCGGTCTGTTTCTGCACCAGCAGAACAAGTAGAACAACCCTCAGATTCTTTCAGGGAATGGAGAGTGTGATTACTTTTTTTTTTTTTCTTAAGGGAACAGAAAACAATGCAAAGGGACTCTGGAGAGGCAGGGGGAGCCATGGACACACACGACTAGCTCAATAACCAGTTTGTTACACGAAGCCATCTAGCATACCATTCAAATGAACAGGTAAGGTCCAAAAAAAAGATATTCTGTCCAGATTAATGCTTTGGGTGCATAGGGCAAGTCTGTTCAGGATTCCAGATTTTTCTTTTTGTCTGCTTGTTTTCTTCTCCTGAATCTACTTACAATGAAAGCTCTGATGTTTGAAACCATTCAACTAATGTGTAACAAGGAATGCTGGCTTTCTGTTTACATTTAACTTCTAGGATCAGAAGGCTTTCAGCTTTTAGCCTAATCTGACGTTTAGAACTGTATTAATGGTACAGAAGAGCCAGATGAGCCTTCCAAAGATCTCCTGAGTGAACAGAGAAAAAGGTGCCACTGCAGCCCCAGCTCATCCAGATTTAACATTGGATTTCTGTCCGTTCTGCACTCGTCTGTGATAAGCAAATCAAAAGTGGGGAAGATGCTCATAATAAGGTGTAAGATCTATCTTCGAGTACTTTCATATTGGAATAGCTCCATAACTTTTCAACACGCAGAGTTGGCTCTGATCTGATGCTGTTTATGAGACCTAATTCGTAACATACAATGCTGTAACCAGAAAGGACCCCATCCTACGGCCGGTCTGAGTGCAGTGTGTGCCTCCCACTCCTTCCAGCATACAGCTTGGCCATCAGACTCAGCCAGACCCCAACAACAAGGCAAATAAGAGAAACGGACAACTTGTATCTAGCTTCACAAGTTTGACTTTGTCTAAGATTGCAAGGCTCTGCTAACACGCCAAATACAGCAGCAGCCCACAGCACCCGGTGCTGCAGAGCCTAGCTGCGAGAACTCAGAACGATTCCAGCTTTGCCGTACTTCGTGATTTCCTGCTCAGGACTGCTAAGTGATTACTCACCCGATACTATATGAGGATTACTCAAATGAAGGAACAGGACGAGATGAGGAGTTTCACCTCAGCCCGCCCGGCTCCCCGTGCGGCAGCGCCCGTTCCGGCAGCGGCGCGCCGCTCCCAGCTGCTGCAGGGCAGCGCCGTTCGGGCGCGCTTCGGAGGGCATCCGGCGGGCCGCGAGGGGAGCGCCGCGGGCAGCGCAGAGCGGTAATTGCCGCCGTGCAGAGAGAGCCCGGCACGGCACGGCCGCCCACGTCGTCTGCGGATAACGAGGGCGGATCTTTATTAAAGGCTTCCTAACGACTCTGTTAGCTTCGCCTCCTCGCTCGAGTAAGCTTCCGACAGGTACATGCGGCAATTGCTCGAGAGCGAGCGAGGCGACGGAGAGCGAACGCGACAGAACGGCAGAACAGCCGCCGGGCGGAACCGGGCTCTTCGTCTGGAGCTGCGCGCGAGCCCGGCCCGGCGGAACCGCCTGAGATCGGGACGGCGCCGGCAGGTCCGGAGCCCACCTGCGGCCCGGGACTCCGCCCATCCGCTCACCTTCCGAAAGTAGCAGTCCTCCTCCGGGCAGCCGCGAGCCGGCAGGGCGTCCATCATCTCCGGCTGAGAGAGCCGTCCTCCGCCGTGCTGCTGCGGGGAGCCGCGACCCTGCGGGAAATGTCGGCGCTGCCCCACGGCGCCGCCCGGCTCCACCCCCGGCGGGCGGGGAGCAGCTGCCCCGCCCCGCGGCCGTGCCCCTCGCTGCTCGGACCGGCTGGCCCCGCGCGGCCGCCCGCCTCGTGCCTCGGGCTCGGCGTGGGGGCTTCGCGGCCGAGCGGCCCCGGCGTGGCGGAGCGAGGTCGGGGCGCGGGCGGCGGCTTGCGGGGCGGGGCGGGGCGAGGTCCGGCCGAGACCCCCGGGCACCGCTCGCCTCCCGCCGCGGCCGCCGGCCGCTCCGCGTTCCCGTGCCGGAGCGGTCGCCACGGGTGGCCCCCGCGTCCCCGGGGCCGCCGGCTGCGCAGCGGTCGGTGCCCGGCCCGGAGATTTCCGTGGGGTCAGCCTCAGACGTGCACGGATCTGCGGTGTTCGCAGTGCGAACGTCACGTCTTCAGAAAATTCCGCTGTGCGACCGGTTCTGCAGATGTTTGTGTTGGACGCCCGAGTAAGGAAATGGGCGGTATCGGCTGCTATTGCTACCCAGGCCTAAGCTACAGCTATGTGGGCTTCCAGCACGTGAGAATGTTAAGCATCCAAGTGCTTTAAGTGATTATTAGCAAACGTATCCTGCCCTTCTGTGGTTTCTGTCTTTCTGTAGCAGTGATCTTCAGGAGCCAGGAAGGTGTCTGCAAAGACGACCTTTCCCTATCAAAGGGAAATATCTTTGGGATTACATCCCAAGTTCCCAAAAGCTCCCTTTGAAAGTGCAGGTGTCAGCAGGGAGCTGAGCAGGGCGCTGCGGCTGGGCTGTGCCCGCTGCTGTTAGAAGGAAGAGCACAAGAGCCAGCAGTTCAGAAATTGGGTTCCAGAGACACCATGTTGGCTCTCTTGAGGTCGGTTGAATTTTGTTCTTCCAGACACCATATGCTCCCACCACAGTACCTTTTTTTTTTCCCCATTAATTCTAAAGATACTGGCTGAAATGGGAAAGTAGATTAACTTCCCTGATCTCTTTTTAAAAAGTAGGAACATATTTTAAAGTATTATTTCCATTGTTAGAAGATGTACTGACCTGACAAAGAAAGATATTTGAGAAACTTCATCTTGCCAAAATAAGTGCACGTAGTTGAAGTTAATATCGATGAGAGATAAATCAGCAAATTGTCAGATGTGCTGATACTGTCGGCAGTCTGCACAAAACTGCTTCTACTGAGTTTATTGGAAATGGACTTAATATGAAGGGTACTGCTGTTACTTCAAATAGAGCCGTAAGAGTTTGTAGCCTGGTTAAAGAGCCAGATGCTTAACAATGAGACAAGTGACTATGACTGAGGTGTGTGTAAAGCAGAAATTTGCATAAATTTCTGCAGAGAATGGTACCAAAGTTAACTTACTGGTAGCATGTCTCCGTGACAGACTGCAGACTGCAGCCTTTCTCAGTTGCTGGTGGATACTTGGAATGAAACAAAGTCAGCAGCATTACACACAGTGAAATCTTCCAGCAAATTCAAGAATCTGAGATAGCTCTTAAAGGCTTCCTCCCCCCTGGTGAGCACCCTGAGAATATCTTCCAACACCTTCAGAACTGCCAGATCAGACTGTGCCTTGCCCTTGCTTTGATAAGAGTACTTTATGACTGTGCCAGGATTTATCTCATATTTCTAAGGAAGTCTCAGTAAGTTTTGTCTGTCTACAGAGTGCTCCTCTTAGTGAATATGAAATTTTTTTAGAAGACATGCTGATTGCATGGTCTCAGTAGTTAGAACTGAGCTATGTAATGATGGGGTAGGAGCACTCCGTGACCCTGGAATGTAAATTGCAGCTTAGAACGTTCCAAAAACTGATTTATCTCAGAAAACATGTCCCTACTCTTCTAAGCATTTGGTTAAATAACTTGTTTCCAGTAGCTCTTTGGTTGCTATTAGAATTCTGAAATAGAGGTGGGTTCATACCACAGACTTTCTCAGTTTCTCACAATTGTATTAATCAGAGGGTTTGGTTTCCTGCATTGTAGAGATTGAGCAATAGAAGGCTGGGAATCAGTAACTCATGCACTCAGAAAAAGCGATCCACAGAGGCAGAGGCAGATGTTTGGTTGGCATCAGTAACCTTAGAAGACCAAATTCAGTGAACTGGTGCACAGAACATGGCACTGTCACTGAGGAAGCATTTTTTACCAGATGCTCAAGGATTTGCATCAGTGTGCTGTGCCTAAAATACTGAAGCTGAGAGCAACTGATGTTATCTCTGCATCAAATCTCTCTCTGTTTTCCAGAACTCTGCTTCAGGCTTTCTGCATTTTCACAGATAAACCAGCCAGGTGAAGCAAACAATGACTGCATTGAAAAACAGCACTGAAAGGCAGAGCTTGAGTTGTCCCAGTTTTTGTCCCACAGAAGTCAAGGTGAGAGAGAGGTCAGAACTGGAATAGGCTTACCACAGACACACAGTAGTATGTATAGATAAGTATATATGTATGATGGTATATATATACATACACATTATGTGCCGTGTTTCTGTTATGTTTGTGTAATTCTGTTTGCTCAGTCAGTCCTGTCCTTGCCCTCCCTCATCTTAAAAAAAAAAAAAAAAAAAAAAAAAAGAAATTCCAGTCCTTGTTTTAGTCCTTGTACTTCTCTTTGGCCAATAGGAAAGGATCTTCATTTAAGAAATTCATTTCCTGCTGCAACTTGTGTTGATGCAGTTATACACTGAAGATCTGAATCTGATTTGCCTTTGTAAGAACAATACTACTCTGTGGGAAGTGAACTTTTTATTTTTCTTATGACTACAAACATTGCGGCTAAAGTATGGTAACAGGTGCTTCAGAAGCAGTTTTTGTCCCAGACAGGGAGGCTTATCAACAAAAGCACATCAGAATGATACTGTGTGAAGAGAGGAGTATGCTTCAAACACATGCTGTTTGTCAAGATAGATTCTTGAATTCTGGACAGATCACATAGTTGTTTATTGCTCCTTCAGTTGTTGGCTTGGAATATTAAATATTCATGTTTCATATTAAATATTATTCTGAGAGCAAAAAAGATTTTGTCAGCATCCCTGACAGTCTGTAACTTTACAGTTGTCGAGTTCTTCATTTCTGAAGATTGTAGTTCTATAGTAAGAGAATATCTGGCTACAATGGGGACATTTTAGGTGAGGAGAGAGAAAAACAGCTTTTAGACTGATTTTTGTTTCTCACTCAATTCTCTGCAAAGCTGTATTTGGCAAAAGAAAAAGAAGAATGGCAAAAACAGGCATGGGGGCACAGTAGTAATAGTGATGTCTATGTCATTAAAGACTTAAAATTTTACCAATTGTAAAGTTTTCAAATTGTAAAGTTTTGAGACTAAAGAATGGAAGGACTTCTCCTAAACAAAAGAAGCCCTTCTGCATTTTATGACAGAAGTACTGAAAAGTGACCAGACAGGAATAGCAAGGAACTAGTGCCCAAAGTTTTCCTAACCAAGAAATCTACAGAATAATACCAAATGTATAAAAAGTGCTATGCAAAATCAGTAGAGTTAACTAAACATGGGTTAATTAAAGCTTTATCATATTTGAAATGATATATTGTAGTTTCAGTGAGATGCAATAAATAATGTAAGGTTAGACATGGGCAAAGTTATCACCACTTGATCCTGATAATGCTTTGTCTTTAGCTGAAACCCTTAGATAAAAATCAGTGTATTTAAGGATGATATGTATTATTTCTTTTGTTGTTGTTTGTTCATTCTTTAGAAAATTAAAATAAGCTTTGTAAACTTTGTAAAAGTTTAACACCTCAGGGTTTGTACTTTGTGTATCTGTTTCCTGAAATGATACATAGCTGTGTGCTGCTAGGATGGATATTAAGATGAATGTTATTCCTGTTGACCCAAGATAAGTCAGAAGTGAAGTTGTTTCTCTCTTGCCCTGTTTTGAATAGTAAATATTTAGTCTACTTAATATTCTGTTTTGAACTAATTACATATTTTTAGATTTTATTTTTTAATTTGTAGGAGAATCAGAATTTTGTTTTCTAAGTTTGTACATGAATTATGCTGGTTTCAGTCTATAGTAGCAGTGACTCAGGTAACTTAAAACTAATCAATAACAACTTATCTATTTGAGGGATTGCTGTTAAAGAATACAGAACATTATGAACGGCATGGGAAGTAATGTTTGTGGTCCCCTCCTTGATGAACTAATTCAAAAACAGATGCTGAAAACATATTAGAAAATAAAGCCTGATCTCCATCAGTAGGTCAGGAGCCCAAATTCAGTTTTATGTGTACTGGCTTTGAGCTTTCATTTTAAAATGCTATTTTGTTTTTTTCACCACCCAATTCACTATTGAAAAATACACATATTAATTTTTCAAACATAAACTATCCAAACCTACAAAAATTTCAGTTGCATCTCCGTTACCAAAAGGCATTTGCATTGTCTTTTTTAACAGCTACAGATAGTAACAGTCACCTGCTTTAACAACTGTAAATTGGAGACAAAGTTTACCATGGAAAGGAAATACCACTGTGATGCAAAAGTATTCCTAATCTGATAAGAGCTTTAAAGGAAAAAAAAAACCCTTCAAGATTTGATTACTCTATCTCTTTGAACTTAGCAGACAAAACACTCAAAAGATTTTCTGTTAACACTGTGAAAAAAAAAAAAAAAAAAAAAAGTTTACTTAAGCATGTGCATCCAAATCCGTCAGACTTGACTGTTTAGGAACAATTATTTCCCAAACAAAAAGAAAAAACAACTGTGCTAACAACTCATTTTGCCACTATGTGCTCTGGGATAACTGCTTACTAATTAGTAATGATGAGAAAAGTTAATGCGCATAGATAAATGCCTGCGGCTTCTACCGAGTTGTTTTTGAGCCAATCGTAGACCTAAATAACTGAGTGCCCCCTATTTGCATACAACTGTGTAAATATTTCCTATGGAAAGCTGAAACCACATGAAACTGGGGTCGTTTCACTTTGGAAGAAACCAGTTCTGTGCGTACAAACGAACACAAAGGCTGGATTAGAGACTACAGCACCAAGCTTAAAGAAGTCTTGTCTGTGAGTCCCTACAGCTGTGTTGTGATTTAGTTTTGAGGAATTCAATAAACTGGTGATCTCTGCTCGCAGGAGTTCTGAGTGGAACACAGCACTACTTCACAGGATGAAGCAGTGTGTATCGTTTGTGTGTACGTGTTATTTTTTTTTTTCCTAATTATAAAACGTTGAGTGAATCTGAGTCTGACAGAAAACTGTAAGGTGGAGAAATCAAACGGATCACAGCTGATACATGAGTTTTCAACAGGTAATAGTGAGGAATGGCAAAATTAGAATGTCAGCTTGGAACACTTGGTTCGTAACTGACAGGTATTTATTTGTTCTGATATAAAATACGTTGAATGAAAGCTTCCCTTGTGAGGCGCCTGTCACAGAGGTGTGAATGCAAAGACCCCAGTGTATGCCTTTATTTAGAGGTATCAATTGCCAAAGTCACCACGCAGGGCACTGGTTCAGAACAAGCCGCCTCAGCGTTTCCACACAGCGTCCCGCCCGGCGGTCAGGCTGCGCTGCGCTCTGGGGAAATGCCTTTTGGCGCCCAGTGGGGACCCCGCGTGGCCAAGGCCGGCCTGCCTGGCGCTGTGCTGAGGGGCGGGGCGCTGTGCTGAGGGGCGGCCGGGCCCAGCGCCTCACGTGACCCTGCGTTGTCCCGCGCGAGCCGCCGTCGCGGCAAGATGGCGGCGGACTCGAGCGACGGCGAGGAGGAGGATCTGGTGAACTACGGGACGGCGCTGCAGCCCCTGCAGGAGGGTAAGGGAGCCCGGCGAGCCCGCCTGGACTGCTCCGTCTTTTTGAGCCGCGCTGTGGTGAGGGTGTCCGGGTGTCCAGGAGGAGCGGCCTGCCGAAATAAAGCAGCCCGGCCCAGGACTGGGAGCGGCCGTGCTGCCCGCGCGGGGCCCGTGCCCGGCCTGAGCCTGTCCGTTACTTTAGCTTTCATCGTCACTTCTAAGTGTGCGGTTCTGTGGGCGTGTTCTACGTCTGTATTCGCGGTACCGGCTGAGCGTTGCCCGAGCGCCTGTGCACAGCTGTGGGCGCTGAGCCTCTGCCTCTTAACTAACGTCACTGCCGGGCTGCGGGCCGAGCTGCAGGGAGCTGTGCGTGTGGAAAAACCTCCGACTGCGTTTTGGAGTTCCAGGAGTTCCGTGCCACCTGGAACGTTTTTAAAGCAAGCAGCCAGCCAGCGGAGCTTGGGAGCTGTCTGCGTGACGGTAAACGGAGGTTTTGTTGCCTGTCGGGGGCTGGAAAGCAGCAGGTGCTGTGTGAAGAGAGGTGCTTCTTTAACAGAACGATAGCAAACCGTGCTCTGGGAGTGACGGTTCTGGCGGACCTTAGAGAAACAGCAGCGTTACGCGTTATTTTTTGCCGCGGCAAGAACTCCTCAGTTTTACTGAGGTAAACGGTGATAATGGTGTCATATGCCTGACTGAGCTTATATGAGAAGGGAATTGGGCCTTGTGAGTGTGCGAGTTTATTATCAGCATAAAGCCTTCATCCTTCAGAATGTTCAGGGAGGTCTTCACTAGCTTCTCTTTATGAATGGAATGTGTTTCAAGCATTATGTTTTGTCAATGGAATAACTGATTCTGTTGAAAATTTGTAGTAGTAGGATTTTTTTGCTCTTATATAGAAACTTTATATAAAAAAGTTGCATAGTTAGCTTGTCAATAAATATTAAGGAGAACCTGGCTGGTATTTAGAGCTTTCTAATAGTTTGTAAGTAGTTCTGAAGTGTCTGTCACAAACAGGGGAAATATTTACAGATCAGAGGTGTTGTTAAGCAGACTGGTAATCTATTAGCCTGATCATAGAAAATTGCACAGAATTAGTAAGAATTTAGGTTTTCTATTTGAACACTTGATGCTTTTTCTCTGTCAGTGTACGTCAACAGCATACGCAGATACATAAAGTGATACTGATGCTTTCTACTTCAGGGTGGGTACTATTCAGTCCTGTTCTTAATTGCAAGGGAAGAAATGGCTTGTGGACCAAGTAGGGGTTCCGTTCTTTATGTAGTGTTATGAATTGCTTTCTGATTTATCTCCTTGTAGGCGAACGAATTAAGAAGCCAGTTCCTCTTCAGGAGCAGACTGTTAAAGATGCAAAGGGGCGATACCAGCGTTTTCATGGAGCATTTACGGGTGGCTTTTCTGCTGGTTACTTTAACACTGTTGGCACTAAGGAAGGTGAGATACTTCTCTGTCAACTAGGAGGGGTTGCTTGATGACTGTGGTGTAACATCAGTGAAAAATAAATGTTATTAATCATTTTTTCCCCTGCTGTTTGTTACTCTGTAAATAATTGGAACATAATTTTTGGAGATACTTAAACTTTGTTTCTCAGACTCCAGCTACGTGAATGTTCTCTTGATGTATCCCTTAGGTGTAAGATTCAAATGTTTGAATTGTTTTCAGATGTTGTAGTTTGCAGTCTCTTACTTTAGATGTCCCTTACTTTGCCTTCTTTAAAGGATGGACGCCCTCAGCTTTTATATCATCACGGCAGAAGAGAGCAGACAGAACTGTTCTTGGACCAGAAGACTTTATGGATGAAGAGGTAAATTTGGAAAGAAATAAATCCCTTTTGGAAGTTGTAGACATGATTGTAAGTTTTTCAGGCCATGAAAAAAGAACGTAAATAGCAAAAGTTGTAGTAACCTTAAAATTATTTCATGTATATGTTGTTGTACTCCTAGATTCTATAGGATATTTAACAGATTCACTTAGGAAGTTCATATAATCTCAATATTAAAAAAATCCGATATCTCAAGCCTCTCATTTCCTCTTATCAGGAAATCCAAATACTTTCAAAGCTGTTTTAAATATGACCATTCAAGTTGCACAGAAATCAACCACAAAAGTGTCTTGAAAAATGTTGCCAATGTAAGGGTTGCACCCTGTTTTCTTTTCTTTATTGTTACAGTGAGTATTTTGGGGAAAACATTTTCTAATGTAATTTTTCTGTTTTGCCTGTCTCTTCTAGGATCTTAGTGAATTTGGGATAGCCCCAAAAGATATTACAACCACAGATGATTTTGCATCCAAAGCTAAGGACAGAATAAAAGAGAAAGCTAGACAGATTGCAGGAGTAGTTGCTGCCATTCCTGGAACTAGCGCACTTGATGATTTAATAGGACCATCAAAGTAAGTAAATTTAAATAAAAGTTAGCATAGAAATTCCTTTTGCATACGAGTGCATTGATGAGAGAAGCAATTGACTAGAGTAACTCATGAAAGAGGCTGCAAGATCTGCAGTGTTACCTTTCCAGAGAGGCCTCCTTGTGGATGTTCTTGTTTGTGCAGATTTGTGCCAGGCACACGCCTACAACCGATGCAGCATATATGCAAATGTTGATGCATTCAGATTTTAATTGAAAGTGTGTACAAAAGCATACTTTCAATTGGTTTAATTTTCAGCTAGATTTCAAGGAATGTTGGAACTGTGACTTGAGTTTTTTATTTTTGCTTTATTTTGTTTCTTCTTAGAATAACAATTGGGGTTGAACTGTTGCGAAAAATGGGTTGGAAAGAAGGACAAGGAGTTGGACCACGAGTCAAGAGAAAGCCACGTAGGCAGAAACCTGGTAAGTTTACTGAGGTGCCTGAACTCAGTTGTAGAAAGCTAGCGTCAGAAAGTTCATTTTCTTCTTTCCTTTTATTTAATCCATTTATTTAATCTTAGAGAAATTTAGTAGTGAACTTTAAATTAATAGCGATGCTGTTGCATCTGTTACAGACCCTGAAGTGAAAATATATGGCTGTGCATTACCACCTGGGCTGTCCGAAGGTTCCGAGGTATTGTGCAGGCAGAAGTTATTTGTTAACTTATGTATAAGTAACTTATGTGTGTTAACACCCTTTATAAAAAACTTTTTATGTTTTTAAGCATTTTAAGTTAAAGTTTAACATACAGTTTAAAGTTTTGTTAAAGTGTTCATAAATATTTACTGCATTTATTATGAAAAAGGAATGTAACTACATTTATTCTTTTTTTAGTTGAACAGGTGTAGTTCATAAATAATTTAATGTATAGTTACAGAAACTTGAACTTGCCTAGTCTCATATTAACTAGATGTTGTAAAAGCCACATCTGTGGCTTGTTGTTGTTGTTCTTACATGCTTTTATTTTGTACAAGGATGAAGAGGATGAATACCAGCCAGAAAATGTGACGTTTGCACCAAAAGATGTAATGCCTGTAGATTTGACTCCAAAAGAGAATGTCCACGGACTTGGCTATAAGGGTTTGGACCCCTCACAAGCTTTGTTTGGTGCATCTGGAAGAGAGCACCTTAATCTGTTTGCAGCTGATTCTGAAGATCCAAGTAACTTAATTGGTGATGTGAGAAACAATAGACGAAGAAAACTAGGTATCACAGGCCAGGTAAGATATTGTTTTAGGTATTTTATTAGTAGTGTGATAAAATCTAAAATGTAGTTAGAATGGGATCTAATAATTGTAGACTTATTGTAAGAAACCGTAAGTGTGGTTTGAAAACAGGTTTAGGAGTCTGCCTACTTCCTGTTGTTTAACTTGTTCATATCTTCATATTAAACAAATTCTTATAATTCTTAACTGCTTTCATTTGTCAGTGTTTTAAAAGACAAGCAATAGGGTGAAAATAGCTGGCTGACTGATTGAACTGAGAAAATTCTTGTGTTACTTTAACTAGAGAAAGTTGATATTGAATCTGATTTTTTTTTTTTTTTTTTTTCCAATTTTACTGAAAATGGTGTTGAATCTGTCAGAGGGGTTTTACTTTCTCCTGTTGTATTTGTAGTTCTTATGTAGAAAGAGCTTGGTCAATTTATATAATTTTAAGAATTACACTTTGTTAATTTTCATGCCTTTTTTCCCCCTCAGTAATTTTACCTGCATTTAATCAGACTCAAAGTCTGACTGCTAGAATTAGGCTGCTGTCTTTGCCTTGTACAGGCCCAACTTATCGTTCTTCCCTCCGAAGGGACTGAAACAAGTAGGATATGTTTGCTTCCTCCCTCATACCTCTCATCCCCCAGTTGGGACCACTTCTTTTTTTGTGTGAAGTAGATTTTTTCCCAATATATGTGTCCATACGTTGGACATCTTACATAACATCTTACATACTGTACATGGTAAGGTACAGACACAGATGTGTTCCAACAAATGTCTTAAAATGTAATTTTCCCATTTTTGAGTTCTCATTACTTTTGTTTGAAATATATTGTAGGCTTTTGGTGTAGGAGCTTTAGAGGAGGAAGATGATGATATTTATGCAACTGAAACATTGTCAAAATATGATACAGTTCTAAAAGATGAAGAACCTGGAGATGGCTTGTATGGCTGGACAGCACCTAAGGAGTATAGATCAAAAAAAAGTAAGAATTGTAGTTCTGTGGAAAGAGTTAGTGTGATTTGTATTTAAAACACATCCATTTTTTTTCAAAAGCTTCTAGTAGATAGGTATCTTCTAGCTGTGATATCTGTAGCTTTGTCCTAGACTTCTTGGAATATTTGTGTGTTCTAATTCTGGAAATAATTATTTTAATCTTCCACTAACGCCAATTTAGATTTAGTGTGCAAATTACATTTTGAGAAGGGACTATATGTTGTGCTTCATGAAATACAGTATTCAATTGCATTGAAGAAAGAGATTATGAAGCATGGCTTCAAATATGACCCAGTACTTGTAAATAGATTTTTTTAAATAGACTTGCTTATTTTCAGATGACAATATTTGAGATTTTATCTTGATAATGCTCTATTTGTAGTGCAGCTTTTAAGTGCATGGAATACTTAAATGATTTCTAAAGCAACTCCTAATGTTTGCTGTGTTCAATTAATTGCACTTATGATATTAGATGTGCACGTAATGGTACCGTTGTCTCACTTGTAGCCACATTCAATTACTTTCCATAAAATGTTCTGCAAAATGTAAAATATTCAGGAAAGAAGTGTTTTTACAAAATGTGTGTGTTTTAAATATTGGCCAGCTCTGTGATTATTTTTGCAGGGTCTGAAACAGAAGTGAAATATATAGGCAAAATCTTGGATGGCTTTTCCTTGGCATCAAAGCCATCAGCTCCAAACAAGGTAAGCATATAATGACATTTTTGCAGTAAGAATAACATTCAAAGCAAAATTGACATGTGAAATGTATGGATTTTACTGTGGTGTGATACTTTATGTTCTTCAAAATGGAAGTTCTAATAAGCAGTAAAGATTTCTGACTAAACAAAAATGTGAAACTACTGGATGAATTTAAATTTTGTCCATGTTCAGACTTTGAACAAATGCATTCACTGTTATTTTGCATGAAGATGGAAGAATGATTTAACGTCACAATAAAAATGTACATCTGCTTTTACATCTTTCAGCTGTAACATCCTTTTTTTTTTTTTTTTGTAAAAATCAGGCCGCACACTTTGTCTCCTTCATTGTTTTGGTGACAAGCTAGTTTGTCAACCTGATTCTTTGCTTTGCATCTTGTATGCCACGAGTGTTTCCATAAATTAGAATGATTATCAGGGTTGTGTGACAAGGTCCTTTTGCTAATACAGAAAGGAGAAACATTTGCATGGTATAGAAAATTGTGTTCTATAGGAGGCAGAGGGGTAATCTTTGAAGTTATAGTTTGCATGAAGAATGGAGAAAAAGAACTCTGAAAGACAGGAAAATACATTATGTGCAGAAGTACACAACAGTTTAATTAATTGACTAAATCATATGCGACTTCTGTTTTTAAAAATGTAATCAGAAGCACATATTCTCAAACAAAGCAATGCATATTAAGACTGCTTAATTTTTGCTGGTGCTTGATGTGCACATTTTTCTATTTTGCATAACTAATGTGTATTGACAACAGAACAATTTGTTCCAAAAGTTTGTATTACAGCACCGCTTACTGATTCAGTCTGAAAGAATGTGGTATCTCTTTCTACTGTTACTTGTAAATTGAGGAATTTTTAGATTGAGGTTACATTTCTCAATCCCATTTCTAAAAGTTTAATACAAAGTTGTATCTCGCTCTTGTGGTTGTTTTTGTTTTGTTTTGTTTTTTTCCACTACTCTGTAAAGATTTATCTGCCACCTGATCTGCCACGAAATTACAGACCAGTCCACTACTTTCGGCCTGTAATAGCAGCTGGGAATGAAAACTACCATTTACAAAAGGTGTTAGAAGAATCAACTGGAAAACTGGGGAGTGACGCCACACAACAAAGCAGGCATGCATTGAATGCGTCTCAGAGGAGGGAACAACTAGGAGAGACTGTTCTGAAAGGTATTGATAGATAGTTGTCCCTTTCCTTGTTCTTTAGGTCCACAATTTGTTTATGTAGCAGTAAAAGTTTGGTCCAGACTTGAACATTATTCTAATGTAACTTGTATATTTTACTTGTGTTTTTATATACAATAATAAAAATTATGAAGCAATATAAATACGTGCAAATAGCCAGAAAGATGAAGTAGTGACCAATAGTATCCATCTGCTATTTCTGCCGTTATATTGTGTTGTGGCAGAAGAGCATTTTCTCTGTGTATACACAGGCTTTCTACTCCACTGAAGTGTCAGAAATAGTTGAACTAATTTTTCTTTTTGCTTATCTCTAACTTCTACTGGTCATAGGTCCAGCTCCGTCTGTTTTGGAATACCTGTCTGAGAAAGACAGAGAAAGACTCAAAGAAGTAAAACAAGCATCTGAACAACAAATGAAAGCAAAAATGTTGCCTCAGCAGCCCCGGAATAGCAGATTCCAGCCAGCTTCCCCAGACGATGCTTCTCATAAATGGCAAATGTTATTGGGGGGACAGTTAGCAAATGCTGGTTCTAGTGACTTCAAACCATTCGCAAGAGATCCAGAAAAACAAAGAAGATATGAAAGTTTTGTGAAAAGCCTTAAACAAGGAGAAAAAGGTAACTGAAGAGAGAAATCCTGACACTTTTAGTTTTCTCTGAAAGAGTATTTTTTTGGTTTTGCTTCCTCTATGTTTTAATTATTTGATGAAGCTTTGAATTTAAACACCTATTAAATAAATGAAGTATTAAAAAGCAACACATAAAGAGTCAGCATTACAAGTAAAATTGTTTAAAACATCTATCTTGCATTTAGCAAATCATTCTTGCTGTTGTGAAAAACTGCCTCTACTTGTCAAGGAAAAATACAGTTGAGATTAATACTATCCTTAAAAATAAATATTCATGAAATACTTGCAGGGTTGATTGCTTTTTTTTTTTCTTTCTTGAAAAGTATCAAACTTAGGTAAGGTTTAATGTCTTAAGTATTTATTTCTTTACCTTACAGTAGATACGTTGGAGCGTTACTTAGACCCAAATATGACAGAATGGGAACGAGGGAGAGAACAAGAGGAATTCTTCCGTGCAGCGATGTTCTACAAGTCCTCCAACTCAGCGCTGGCATCCAGGTTTACCCGGGCCAAATATGAAGATGATGCTGACAAAGTTGAAGTTCCTCGGGACCAAGAGGTATGTGTTGTCACAGTATTTTAGTATTTTGAAACTACATTTATTACCTTAACACTGCTTTATAAAAGTATTTTTCTTTAAAACTCTTTTGTAGTTATGTCAGTAATGCTTTGTTGCCTGTTAAGTAAACCTTTGAAAAGACTTAATGCATGTAATGCAGTCATCTGTTAAACTACGCTGAAATGTTTATCTGCCATGTTATTAATATGACAACAGTAATAGTTAATTCACCAAGTTGTTAGTTACCTAGCAGACCGTGTTTGACTTTTTCAGAATGATATTGATGATAAGGAATCTGCTGTGAAGATGAAGATGTTTGGTAAACTCACGAGAGACAAGTTTGAATGGCACCCTGAAAAGTTGTTGTGCAAAAGATTTAATGTTCCTGATCCATATCCTGAGTAAGATGATTAATTAAGAAATTCTTAAATTTTTGAACACTCCTTGGAAATCCTGAGTTTTCATATTCTTGTGGAAAAAATCTGGCTTGATGTTTTCTTTTTGTATTGTAATAGATGTATTATAGATTTTCCTAATGTTTTAATTGGCCTTATAAAGCATGGTAAAATAACTTCTGACAAAATAATATGCGTTTTAAGTATTACTGTAGGTTGTTGTAGCTAATTTGTGTGTGGAAAACAGTATTCAAAAGAACATTTTTATTTCCCTGTAGGTCTTCCATTGTTGGTTTACCAAAAGTGAAGAGAGACAAGTATTCTGTATTTAATTTCTTAACTCTGTCTGAGCCTACTACATCTGTAACACAAGACACAAATGAAAGAAAACAAGAGAATAACAGTGTGAGCAGTAAGTCAGGTTTTGTTTTTTTTAATCACATAGCTGTGAAGTAATAGTATATAGAAAATGGTTGTCTTTGTTATGAGGAATGAATTTATCCATCTGATTTTTTTTTTTCCTAAAAGAAAAACAGGTATAAAAATTGAAAATATATTCAATACATTCCATTCAAACATAAAAGCTAAAGTCAGTGAGATGGTGTTAATTTATTCCACCTAGGAGACCTTTATAGGTCAGGTATTCATTAAAAAGATAGAAAAATCAAATCAGGCTGAAGAAGCAGACTAAATTAAAATCAAGTAGGTCATGAAATGCAGTAGAATTTGACATGCAAGTGATTTGAATGTTTGGGACTTTTTTAGAACCAAAGAAACCTTCAAGATGGGACATATCAGATAAAGAGAAGGAGAAAAAAGATTCTATCAGTGAATTCATTAGTCTTGCCAGATCAAAAGCTGATCTTCTGCAGAAGCCACCAGTGCCAACAACAGAAGAAAGTGGAACAAAGGCAGCTGAAACACTTCCCAGTGAGGTGGGTTCTTAGTGGTGTTGGAATATAAAGGGGAATGACTGTAAACCTTGGAAATAATGATGTGTACTCTATGAATTGGTTTAATAAAGACTAGTTTGCTAAAGGGCCAACTCAGGATAAGCAAAAAGAAAGTGAGATTGCTTTTGAAAGAATTTTGCGGTTATAACTCTGAGATGTAAAACTTCCACATCTTTACAAGGATGGTAAGTATGGCTATACTTGATGTAGCAGCTTAAGGATAGATAAAATGTTGCTCACAGTCTGGGAGTGAAGTTCAGTACCTTGCTCCCACTTTGCTCACAGGCACAGGATATATATGTATCTTCTGCTTTGAGGAGGAGGATGCATACTTCGTAGAGACAAGTGATGTTTTCCTTTTAAATAAATTTACTCTGGTGTGTAAGTGAAGTTTGAAGTAATGAATTAGAATTTATAATAATTTGGGATTTGCTTTCAATTGTGCATGGAACACAAATTTCATTAATCTTTAGAGGAAACTGAGCTTAGCAGTGCTCCAGTGGATTGAACTAAGAATTACTAAGATTGTAAACTTCTTATGTGTTGTGATGTTTGATTGTTTAATCAATACATCCCAGCATATTTGAAATTACTATATTGCTTAACTGATGAGAGAGGGATTTTTAGTTTCTTTAGGTGTCTAAATGTGGTGTGTTACACTGCTTTACAGGCAGATAATGAGAATAAGGATCAAGAACAGGAAGAAGAAAGCAGACCGTCCATGGACTTATTTAAGGCCATCTTTGTGAGTTCCTCAGATGAAAAGTCTTCCTCTGAGGAAGAGAGTGATGAAGAACAGCAGCCTTCTACTTCAGTAGTAGATTCAGAAACCACTGGACAAGCTGGTCTACCTGGTAGTTCTTCATCTAACATACAAGGTAGTTCTTAATGCGTGCTTATTTTTATAAGCGTCTTGTAGAAGTTTCCTTTATGAATCAAGTACTTCTGGGACTACTGGGACAGTGCTATATCCTGAACTAACTTGTAATTGTATTATAGGTCTATTTTGGTAAAAACAAACAAACAAAACAAAACAAACAAACAAAAACAGGTAGAGGCAATACGTTGAAATCATTCAGGATGTCAGCTGTGCTGTTGGCCCACGCAGTCCACGGAGATAAAGGATGCTGATCAATTTGCTTTAAGTTTCTCTGATAATTCTTGAAAAAAGTATTTTCTTTCAAATAAATGAGTTTTTTGGTTTTGGTTTTTTTTTTCCATAGACAGTGTGGCTGTTAAAGCTGAGCCTGGTGTTTCTTCATTGCCTGCTTCAAAGCAGGAACAGAATAATGCGGAGGAATTTGGACCGAAGTTGCCTCCATCTTTTTCTTCTGGTAGGTTCTGTAGACTTGTAGTGTGTGAATTCTACACTTTAAAGAAAAATATCATACGTATGTCTTTAATGTTTGTGAAGCAGTACCTTACCTCTTAAGTGCCTGTTCTATGTCAAACATGTCAACACACACTTTGTTACCACTCTGTGAGGGACTATCAGGAATCTTTTTGCCTGTACTTGCTTTGTTGTAGTTCCATAGAGGCGGGGTTTATGAACTGTAATGGAGATATAGGATGAGCATTACAATTTCCTTATTAACAGGTTGAAAAGGTGTTTAATTACAGTAGGAACATTGCAGTTAGAAGTTCACACATTTCACATCTGTTTGAAAGCTTTTTTAAACTACCATATTAAATTAATATTTAATATGAATTTAAATATTAAAATTACCTTTTTGTTATTGTTTGTATTTGTATTTTTTGTTTCTGCATTTGCTTTGTACTTCAGGCTCTACATGGCAACAAGAAACAGTGGTGCCAGCAAGTTCTCCAGGGCCTGGCAGGAAAGAAAAACACAAAAAGAGCAGAGAGAAACACAAGACTAAGAGAGATCACAAGCATAAAAAGGAAAAGGTATTGAATTAAAATAATCAGTTTATTGGTTCTTTGATCTATCAATCAAATTTTCTTGTGATTTATGCTATGCTGTAGAAAATGAATCAAATGTGTCTGAACTGGAATAACTGAGTTTCTCAGGTGATCTCAGACTGGAATTTGAAAACAGGACATTATTTAGCTAGGGTGCTGCTTTTCCCATTTATACAATGTGAGTACAGACATTAATGTTTAATGTTTTATGCTGAAGATGTTGGGCATATTCTGAGAGCTGTGTATAATTCACAACTTCTATATCAACTAATAATCAAACATCTATTTTGATGAGGTTTAAGTGTTGGAAAGAGGTAAGTAGTTTTGGCATTTATTTTTCAGTTTTAGCTCAGGCTAGATAGTACCAAAAAGAAGTCATTGTTGAGCGTTTCAATTGAATGTGGAGTCTACAATGAAATTGACTTTTAGGAATGTTTGCTTTTTTGTTGTTAGTGCCTTTCAGAGGAAACCAGCTCTCCCAAAATGAAAATTGTAGTACAATGAATTGTTTTTCTTTTTACAGAAAAAGAAACATAGGAAACACAAAACCAAAGGAAAACATAAGAATAAAAAATCAGAAAAAGACAGCAGCTCAGATACTACAGACAGCAGTGATAGCCTTAGTGATACAGATTCCACAAACCTGTCACCGAAAGAACTTCTAAGAAGGTAAATAGAAAGTTGACTGAAATACTTGCGAATTTTGCAGTATATAACTGAAATATATAACTGAAACCTCAACTTAGGAGTTTGCGGATCAGTAAACTTATTCATAGCAAACATGGATCAGCAGGTCTGTTCATGTTTATAAAGCCTTCTAGTTTGTTTAATGAAGTGAGGAAATGTTGCAAATGTCTTAAGCCTCTAGAGATAGAAGGCTCTAAATACAACTCTGTGCTAGTTAACAGGGTTTATAGTTACAGATGAATGATATTTTGAAGGAATTAAAAACTAAAGAAGTGCAGATGGTGAGTCATATTTCTGTGACTTTGTCTACTGTCTTTACTTGGAAATGTTGGAAGCGATGTTGTCTGCTTCAGAATGTTTCAAGTCAGCTTCATTTTTTTGATAATCACCAAGAAACCAGTTCAGACATATTCACTGTATGGCTTTGATACTTGGGATGATTCTGCGCTTCAGCAAGGAGCAGTGAAGCAAGGAGGATGATGCTTGTCATGTATGTTTCTGCTAAATCTAAACTGTTGTTATTTATATAAGTAGAGAATATATAAAGAGAGACTTGAACACAGTGCTACCTGGGATGTGAAAATAAGAAAAGAACAGTTTGAAACTTTGTTCTGCTCCACACTTGAAATGCAATTAAAACTAACTGCATCTGGTTCAGATCATAGTCATCTTAAGCCTCTGTCATCTCATGTGGAACTGTCACTGCATTGGATTGTGCTGAGCCTCTCCTATTAGCAGGCAGAGAGGTCTGAATGTGTTGGTTGAGGTATTGCGTCCAGCTGTCTTGGCAAAATTACTGTCATCTAGCTATTCTGTGTAGTGAATACATACCAACAGGAAAAGTCAGGGTTCCAAAGGAGTCTGTCTTTCATTTTTTTGGAGCTGAGCTTCAGTTACGTATTTGTCTTTTTGTATTAAAAAAAAAAGGTGGTATTTTTGATTATGTAAATAGCCAAAATGTGTTTGAGCTTATTTTACACAGAACAGTTTGACTTCATTGTACAAGCTGATAATTTGGAAGTCTTTGTGTTTGCTGAGCACTGAGATTAAGTGCTTCTATCCAAAGTCTTTCCAAAGTCTTGATCTTTCTTTAAATTAAGGTTTAAGAAACTTCTCAAGTAATATTCTTAATGATGTACGTGACTATTTAGTTTATCCTCTTTTTCTTTTTTTCTTTTAGATTGAAACAACTTCAGTATTGAAGAGGCATCTTTCTTCATTACTGTGTGATTTTTAGATCTCAAATTTTTGATCTCCTCCGTGATGGTAGATCAGTCTTGTGTATATATATACTTTGAAGCATTGTAGATAACGTATTCATATTGAATTTGTTTGAAAGTAAATGTTTATATGTTTATTTTGTGATGTTTCATAGGATTAAAATGTAATGATTATGGAATGTTGAAAAAAATCTCTTCTGTATAGCATAATGTTAAATACTGCAGGTTCTGTTTTAATTAACATGAAGCAAGATATTTTAATAAACCAAGTATTACAAATCATTTTTGTACAGAAATGTTATAACCTCAGACCTCTAAAACCTTAAATCTCTCAAGAAGCATGGGAATGGCACAGAGTTCTGGGGAGGTTTACACAAGGCACTTGGAAAAATTTATTTGCCACAAGGGTGGTCAAACGTAGTCAGCACCTAGTGAGGTGGCTGGTTCCCTATGTCTGCCAGTGTTTCAGAGACAGTGCCCTCAATAGTATGCCTTAAATTTTTTGGTTAGCCCTGAAGAGATCAGGTCTTTTGAAGGTTTTGTCCATTCTCTCTTCCCTTCGCTCTGAAGGGCGAATGTTTGTCAGAATTAAGTTAGGGACTTAAAAACTGAAGTAATGTAAAATATGTATTGGGTGTGTATATTTTTTATTGCTTATAACCTTTCTAATGCAGAAATTCAGGTCGCATTTTCCCAGCATCTGGCTGTAACTGGAGTTGGAACATCTCCCAAGTACGTATAGCATTTGTCATAGCAGACCTAAACCAATAAGCTGTCAGTTTTACAGAAATTAAGGCTGTATTAGCTGTAGTACATTGGTACTATAATTATAAACTGCATTATTCAGTGTTTAAATGTATTTACAATGAAAACACTACTTTTATTTCATGCAGTACATTTAGAAAGTACTTACCAGCTTGCAGTATTAATGTAAGCTACAAACCAGCAAGCTGTTAAGTAGACCTGCAGCCCCACAGCTCCCAGGTACACAAGGACTCCAGAACAACCTTGTCTAAACTTATGAACAAAAACCTTCACTGAAATCCTCTATTGTAGGTAGTAGTTCTTTCATGTCTGACTCCAGATGTGTCTTTCGGTATCTGCAGCTTTACGACAGCTCTTGATTAGAGCAAGGTGGTTAATAGTCATGTGTTGAATTGCAGAATATATAGTTTTTAAAATAAAGCCAAAAAGAACACCTGGGGATGAGAGAAAAAACATCTAAGGCCTTGAGGTTGCCTCCACTGCAAGGAAGATATAAAACAGACCCTGCGTTGCACCAGCACAGAGCAAACCCACACCGGGCAGCCAGGCCTCAGGGCTGCATTCCCGCCACTGCGCAACCTGAGGCTGAGGTGGTGAGGGCAGCATGGCGGCGGGGGGCAGTCGTGGGGACCCCTTGGCTGTAGAGCCACTGCCTGAGCCCCAGCCGGAGGTGTCCCCAGCTGAGGGGCACTGGGGGGACCAGGAGCAAATGGCAGAGGTGGGCTGGGAAGGGGAAGCGGGGCTGATGGGAGGAAGGGAGTGCTGGCAGAGTGCTGGTGCACTCTGAAAAGCTCAGCACCAATGCTTGGGGCAGGTGGGCTTTTTGGTGACTTAGTTCACACAGGCTTGTAGTGGGCACTCAGGTGACTGGAGAAAGGCTTTCTCAGAGTGTCTCGTACAACTCGTGGTGGTCATGGCTAAACAGCACGGCCCTAAGGCCTTTGGCACTGCCTCTCCATGTGCCAGAATCACTGAAACACAAAGTTTTTTGAAAGACTTGAGAGAGACTTTTGAGATTTAAAAATAAATATTACTTTGCTTGAGAGAAACTGGGAAAAATAAACAAAAGATAACAACCCAGCCCTTTCTCTCCAGGAAATAAGAATCAAATCCACCGGCCTTCCTTTCTCCACCAGGCAGTGACCAAATCTCGAGCAGCTGCAGCCCGGTGCCAGAGCAGGACATGGCCTCTCCATACGGAGCTCTGCTGCTGCATCGTGCTCCACTGCATGGGAGTGGCTGCCCCAAGGGTTTCCTAAACTTTGCTCTGTTTGCTTACAGATTCAATTTAAAATTCTAAGAGGGCACAGTGATACTGTGAGTTCCTGCCATTTTTGCTGTGAAGACTCAAAAATACTTTCATGCTCTTATGACAGAACAGTGAAGCTCTGGGTATGTTGTGAACACAACAACAAATTTTAAAAATATCTGTTTTGGTAATGTCTTAATATGATTTGACTACTGATAGGTGAAATAATTTTGTAAAGAATCTGAAGTCGTCTCCTCACAGAGGAAGGTGGCAGAGTACAAATAAGCAAGGAGTGAAAGGTTGGTCAGTGTGATGGATCTTTGCAGTATCAGTCTTCATCTGTATTGTTGCAGTACACGGGAGCCCAACAATGGACCTCTGAAGCAGAACAAAAAGTCCTGGCACCAGTGCCTGGACCAGGCTGGTGTGGAGGCATACTCATGAAACACAAGACAACACTTGGGTGGACAGTACTGATGAGAATGGCTGTCAGTGATTTGAATGCAACGTTCACAATTGACTTTTGGAATACACAGAAATAAGTTTTCATTTGTACTTCTAGATTAGATAAAACATGTGAGGCACATACATAAGGCTAACCTTATTTCACAAGCTTTGTTTTGCTTTGATTTTGTGGTGCTGTGTATTTTTTCACAAAAAAAGCACTTCTCAATCAACCTCCTCTGGATTTATTCAAGGATGTTGCCAAAGGATTTCCTGTTCAAATTTTTGAAGAACACACAGCCCCAGTTTCTGAATGCAACTTGAGTCCTGATGATAGAAGGTGACTATTTTCTATCACAATTTATTTTTAAAAGAGAGACAATGTGATTTTCAAGGTTAAATGTGATTGCACGTGGAAAACATTAGACAAATTTGGAACGGATCAGTTACTTTTGCAGTTGTTCCAACGTTTTTCTAGTTCATCAAAGTGAAACTTCTTTTGCTTTGTTTTCTGTTCATTATTCCCTTGTCTTCGTCTGGCAGCCTGTTCACTGCCAGACTCCTTCATCTCCAGTTGATTTCACCTACAGTTTGTGCAGCAGAGCTTAAATCTTTTGGCTTTCATTTGGTGGACTGAAGGAAAAGTCCAAGTCATGACCATTTCAGGACAAAGGAATTCCTGCTTGTGAGCTATTTGTGGCTGGAAGTCAATGGTTTATGTTCTGAAGGGAGCGTGTAAACAGGTGTTGCATAGAAGAACAACACTAAAGCCAAGGTGCAGGGGTTCATCTGTCAGTGAGATTTATATGGTCATAAAAGTTCTGTATTGTTTATTAATAATCTATATTCTTTCCATTAAGCCTGTAATGTCAATTTAAGAAGAAATGCATCTTATCTACTGTCAATCTCTGGGTATAATAATTAAAACAACTGCAGCATGCATTAACATTTGGTTGAGTAGGTCATACGTTGCCACCAGGGGTATTATTTCCGCTATGTTTTATCAGTAATTTGTAGTTTAAATCAATTTTTATCGAATTGAAGAGTTGTCTAATCTCTTTTTGATCACGGGATTGTATTTGTGCCATTCTGCCTGCTGTCTCCCAACCAAAAATGCCACCAGTTCATTATTTTCTTCTTACTCTTGTGCTAAGTGCTTCCATTTAGGAGCAGAGATCATGCAAGTGAAGGAAATGTACGCATAATGAAAAATATTGAAGGTTTGAGAATTTATTTTTAGTTTGCATGAAGCTTCCTGGGCAAAATCTGTGAAAGTGACATTTTCTGAACTTGATAAAAAATTGAGAAAGCCACAATGGGACTAAAAACATTTGCCCTATACTGTGACATTCCATCTAAATGCTATTTTTTAGATATTTGGAAATATTCTAATAAAACAACGTGAGGGCAAACTTGGTGACCTCCTCATTCATGGAAACCTGCTGCTTGTCATCAGTTAGCTTTGTTGTGTAATGTGGGTTTGTGTTTGTGCAGAGCAGTGTCTGAAAATTGCATACATGACATTTTTATTGTTAGTTTATATCTGAAATATAAATAATTACATATTTTAAACTGCAAAAGGCAATTTTTTGCTGCAGTGTTTACAAATCTTTTTTTAAATTAATGAGTGTGAGGATGTCAGATCATTGTCAGAATTAAAAGTTAGCATTTATTTTCAAATATCTTCTCTTAAGTGAGAACACTGAGTGCTGTTTTCATGGTCATTTTTAGGGTGGTAACATCATCCTATGATAACACTGTCAAGACTTGGGATATGGAAACAGGAAAAGTGCTTGTATGTATCCTTTTGAGTGCATCCTCAAGAAGATGTAACTGTAAAATTCAGATGCATTCCGTAGTTATTGGCAAATAGGAAAAAAACCAAAAGCCTTCTTTGTTTGCACAATGCACTACAGTCAGGATAGGCAGGCTTGATTTTTAGTCTAGGTTTTAATCTGATTAATTGTTTGATCACATTAAGTCCCTTGATGATGAAGACGTCTCAGTTATTTCAGATAAAAATGGCTGTAATAGTAATAATCTGTCTCAGAAGATATGTTAGACTGATTGAATTAACATTTTAGGATTTGAACGGGGTATCCTTGTCTAATTTTAAACTTACTGCTATTTTAAAAATAGAATTGGATATAAATACTTCTATCACCTTTCACCAAAATAAAGTGATACCAAACTCCTTTCTTCTGAGCCTACTTAGAGATTAAAGCAAGTGCTGTTAAAGACTCTTTAACTCTGAAGCATGAAACCATTTCTTTTCTTTTTAGTGGACAATAGAACATGAAGGCATCGTAACTTCATGTAATATTTCCCATGATGGCAAATATGTGGTATTTGCCTCAGATAAAGGCAATGCCATATCTGTTTTTGATGCAGTAAGTGCAACAGAGGTGGCATGTGTCCAAGGTAAGATTTACGACTTTTAAATGTTGTTGATTCAGTTCTTGATTTCTTTTATTTCTTAATAATAATCATAATGAACTCAGTTCAGATGCCCTTCCTTGATAAATGCCTGTGTTTTGTAGATAGACTGGTGCATAGCTGCTGTGGGCAGTTCTGCCTTTCAGACCGGTGCACTGAGATGGAGAGCTAATGATTCAAAGCTGGGAAGCAGCTTTACAATAGTTCCTCTTGGTGTGTTTTCCATAGGTCATCACAGGAGTACAATCACAAGATGCTGTTTTGACCCTGATAACCAGAGAGTGACTTCAGTATCATACGATAAGACTATAAAGCTGTGGGATATGGTAGCTCGATCCACCTCAATTACAATTAAAGAGTAAGAAATAATACTATAGTTAATTATGCATGGTATTGTTTGCATCCTTGACAATTATCAGTGAGAATTATGGTCAGATTTGTACTGGAGAAAATGATCTGTAATTGTTGAACTAAATTAAGTTATATGTAAGCAAATGATATATGTGGAATGCATGAATGAAAATTTCCACTCAAGCTTCCTGCTGTAAATAATTGAAAAGTTGCATTTTGGCAGCATTTTTGTTAGTTTTTAGAGCTTCTAGGTTCTTTTATATACATTGGAAGAAGCATACACAATATAGTGCTGAAGTATAAACTTATTGGTATAATTCCTACTAATTAGGAAGAATTTATAATCACTGACAAGTGAGAAGATAAAATATTATGTAGAATAAAGAAGTTTTTTAAAACATTATATAGTGAAGGAGAAGTAACATAGTGGTCATTTTGAATTTTAATCATTTTTCCTGTATAATTGTAGGCTATCTTTGGCTTCCCTCTTTGGCTTTTTTTCATCTCTCATTATCTCATTATCTATGTTGTTAATGGCAGTATGAGACAGGAGTGGATCCAGGACAGATGCTCTGGACCCCGGCTCAGTATGTACCTATATTTTCACAGTGAACCAATTGTGGTCACTCTGAGTTCAGGTACAGTTTTTCCAGGTGATTTCTTGCTGCAAAAGTAATGCCTCCTATTTAATTCCATGGGAACTGTAACAAAAGAGCACAAGAACACTCATTATTTAAAATCTTGTATATATTTTTAAATAAATATATAATTTTTCAGCTCCAAAATGCTATTTTGCAGCATAGGCACCATCATCAGATGTGAATTTTCACCAGAGATGAACAAGAGCCTGCACCAGTGGAGGTGACCCACTGTCACTGTTACCACTGCTGGGATGCACCATCCACTGCATCACTGTGCTCACACCCACTGTTGGGTCTCCACCAATGTTGAGCAAGTGCCAATGAATGCCAATGGGTGCCATTTTTTTCACATGGAGGAATTCAATCACAGCCTCTGCTTTATGTGCATTTTCATGTCAGATGCCACTTTGTCAGACTGTCCCTCTGCTGCCATCTGTCACACAGCAACGATATTGGTGGGAAGATTCAATCTCTACTGCCATACCACCAATATCTACGACTGATGCTGTGGGCTGACACCATAAAAGGTATTACTTTTGGAGAATGTCATGCCCAGTACCAGCAACTAGTGAAGTCCTACAGCTCCCTGTGCTAAACCCTTACATCTCTCGCTGAAATAAGTATTACATTTAAAAATTAGGTTGATGTCGGGCATTGTTATCATTTTAAAGAATAAATTATACAATAGATATCAAGTGTGCTATTAAAATAGCAATAGCTTTTAATAAACTCAACAAATTTAGCTTTGAATTATAACAGCAGTAAACAGAGAGTGCCTTTAAACAGTAATAAAATGGTCTGATGAGGAATTAGGAATTAGTTTTGATGGGAAATTCAATCTGGAGCATTGTAATAATATTTCTTTTAAATCACAGTGATGACAGCCTTGTTTCCTGTAAGAGAAGCTCGTGATCCCTCCCCTGGTGCAGACTGCACGAAGCCCCAGAGTTCTCAGCCTGTTCCAGAGCTTCCAGATTCCTTTTATAGACTTTAATATAAATTGATTCATCTCTTTCCTCTGAGTATTAGAATGCAAATTCACATTTTTGGGACTTTTTTGGTAACTTGCTTTTAAAGAAGTGTGGCTTTTCTGTAGCTGCAAAGCAATGTCATTGCTCACTCACTGCTTGGGGTAATTCTGGCCAATGGCTCACCCTGCAAGGGACCCAAACCCATGCAGGCTGCAGGGCTGTGAGTAGCTCCAGGGGTTTACAGAACTATCCATACAGTTAACATTCAGGATGTGTTTATGTGCTGTACTGGATGGAGAGAGAGTGCTCAGTACCGCAGGAGGCTCTCTGTGAGTTTGATTAATGCTTACAAAACCTCACTGTTGGGGTGTTTTCATGTTTCAGGGGACACAGCAATGCTATTTCAGATTGTTGCTTTACATCTGATGGTCGTTACTTGTGCACAGCATCCTGGGACAAGAGCTTAAAAATATGGGATGTAAAGACAGGAGAATTTCGGAGTCGTGGACCTGTTACCTTGAACCAGGGACATGAGGGTTCTGTTAGTTCCTGTTGCTTTAGCCAAGATGGTGAGTTATCTTGATACCAGCACGTAGTGTAACTCAGTATCTGTGTATGTGACATAACAGGTGAGCCACAAGTGACCACTCCAATCATGTAAGTAATTTGTCATTTCCAAGATAGCATATTTAATTACAAGAAAATGATCTCAAATGTAAATTGATGTTGATGACCAAATCACAGACTTGCAGCCCCTCTACAGGCATGAAATTTGTATTATTGCAAACTGCCATTGTACTGGAACAGATTCTCTTCACTGGAATGGGCTGATATGAGTTTCTCTACGTATTGGTCTAATTAGCTGTTCCCTTTTGTAGCTTCACTTCTTCACTACTATTACTATATTTACTATTACTGCTTACTGTTACATTACTATTATGCAAACTTGTGCTTATTATTTATAAAACCAAGAACGTTAGCAACAAATAGCCAAAAGGAACTTCTAGCATCTTGTCAAAGCATGACTAATAGCTCATTATTTACATGTTATTAACCAAGTCTGACACAGTGCTGGAAGGAGTCTCTTATTAGTCTGTGTGTCAAAGCAAATATTCAGTAAATATTCTGATTTCATATTTCAGCATCACTTGTAGTGTCTGGTGGATATGACAACGCTGTAACCATATGGGAAACATATGCAGGATATAAGAAGTTAAGCTTAAAGGTACTGCAGTTTTATTTGGTCAGTAGTTTGATGAGAAGCTGTAAACTGTGTGCTCCTTTAATAGCATTGTATTTGTTACCCAATATCCTTGTCCATCCTTTCTGATACAGGCAGGAATACATACTGAATTTGTGTGATGTAATTTGTTAGAGCAATATATTCTTACACAATTAGTTACAAAGATACTACCTCTATCGGGTCGGTTATAAACACAAGACTCCAGCTAACTATGGGATATGATTCAATGGCATGAATTAAAACTGTTCATGACTTTATGTGCGGATTTTGCAAATGTTAATTTTACAGAAATCAGGCAATTATGTCAGAATACAGATTTGCAACCTTGCTGCTTTTCCTGTCCTCTGCAAATCTGATTTCAATTGACTTTTTCTTTTTTCTTTTTTTTTTTTTTTCTGAATTACTGCATGCAGTACTGAAGGCTTAGCTAAAACATTCATGAAAAAGCCCACCTGGAATATGACAGAAAATACAGCTTTCCTCCAAAGCCTTTTGAGCTTAAAAATAACTTTCCACTGTCATCTGCATTCAAGATAGTATCTTTATCTGGGGGATATCTGTGCCTCATGCTGGTTACCTTACATGTAGACTTACATACCCTCCTGAGTTGGAAATGTACAGGTTAAACCTTTTGAACAACAGCAGCAAAATGCAATTACTGCAAATATCCCAGTTCACAGCAACTGCTGTAAGTAACACAGTTTCCCATTAAACGCAAAGGCATCTGTTTAAATGTTAATGTCTTTGTAACTATGGAGAATTCCTGTTCCTTGGTGCTCATAACTAAATTTAAAAACATTTTAAGGATTCTGCTGTAAAAAAAACTACTTAAGTTTTATATATGCATGTTTAGCTTTTTCTTTGCGCGTGGAAAATATACAATTGTTTGTCTTTTATAATTGATTTATTGAATGTGGTGTTGATCATAAAAATGACACCATATCTGCCTAAACCTGAGGGATTTTATCTGTTGATTCCATTTATGTTTATATAACCTATGTCACTGGAGTAAGCATATCATTTTAGACTTCAATCTGTTCTTATGCCAGCTCAGTGCTGTTCACTGGAAGTCAGCAGTGCTGCTGTTGTCAGAAGGAGGGTATCTGATACAGCTGCTAGACCTGCTCTGCTTTCAGCATTGAGTTCCCTGCCTTCAAGTGGGGGGAAGCTGCTGTCTGTTCCCAGACTTCTTCCCTCTGTTATTGCATGCTAAGCAGCCTCTTTTTATTTATTTGTTTGTTTATTTATTTACTAAAGTAATGAGTGTTAGGAATCAGCTCTTTCTCTTTACAGTTCTTTAATAAACTGTTTAAAAAGTAGAAAAAAAGTCTTTCAGTGGAGCTTACCTTCATGGTAACTGACAGATGCACTGCCCCCGGCTGCCTCCCAGGGTTTGTAACAGCAACTGCTTCCAGGTATATGTGAGAAAACAGGAGCTTTCTAACAATGTCTTTTCCTGGCTGACCATGAGGAGTCTGGATAACAAGTTTCCTTTTGCATTTCAAAATGAGTGCATAGTATAGACAGTAGTTTTTATTATTAGAAAAGTAATTATGTGCTTTTTTTTTTTCTTGGCTTAAAGTTAGATTTTTGCTTGTCTGTAGGGCCACTGGGACTGGGTGACAGATGTTGCAATTAGTGAAAACAAGAAGTGGATTCTTTCAGCCTCAAAGGTGATCACCACTTTCCTGATGTGATTTCAAGAGCTAAATTACAAATGGATGTGAAGATTTCATCCCTTTGCGTCAGGTTTTGTTTAACAACATTTAACAATAATACAATTGCTCACAAAACTTCTGTGTTCTAATCAGCATCTACATCAAGTAATTATAGAAAATCTTAAAAAGCATTTGATGACTATGTTTATTTTTTTGTTATCTTAAAACGTCCATGCAGTTTTAAGATTGCTGCAGGTTGTTTCCAAACATACGATTCTTAAACGTGAGAGAGGTGATTCTTAAAGGTGAGAGGTTTTAGCACTCTCCTGTTGTGAGACTTATCTGAAGAAATGAGAGCTCATCTTGGAAATTATGTAAATCAGTGTTTTGGTGATACACAGACACATCAACATGATTGCTTCTGTTTCTCAGGATTCTACTTTGAGACTGTGGAATATTGAAAGGATGGATCACATACCTTCAGTGATAGAAAGTAGAAAAGAAAAAGGCTCAAAAATTGCTCAGGTCATATCATTTTATTTTCTAACCACACTTCATTCTTTATTCAGAAACAAAATCTGAATTTTAAAGGAAAGCTTGAGTTTTGCTAGCTGAAAGCACTAATGGATTGTTCATTCTTTGTGAAGATCTGCACATCTTTTTGGGGGAGTAGAATGTAGTAGTAATAATTCTCTTTTAAAATTGGTTGTAATGAGGACACCAATTCACATGCAAAGGTGCATCAAACAGTAAAATATGCCATTAACTTTTCTGTAAATATTTTCTATTGAATTTGAAATTAATGCTGTATAGAGTCTAATAGAAATGGAGTAAACTTCATGTGTGTGGCTGAACTACCATTTTTATTGTATTTATACCAGTGTGAAGAATGTGAAAGACCTTTCTTAAGCCTGCAGCATGGTGGCTTTGAAGTGATATCCAAGTGTGTATTCTGTCGTCTGTCTTCTCCAGCAAGAAATATTTTGCCATTACCACCTTCCATCCCTCCTGATCTTTAAATTCATCTGACCGTTTTTGGATGTTAACATATGTAAGTATAAGTGGAATGTCTGTACACCTTCATGTACTGCACATATAAAGCTGAATGTTTAATCTTGTGCTGCTACAGTATTCTATATCAAGAATGATAAATTATGCTGCTGAGCAGGGTCTCTTGTGACAGGACAAGGGCAAATGGCTTCAAACTAAGAGAGGAGAGATTTAGACTGGATATAAGGAAGAAAGGTTATGATAAGGGTGATGAAGCACTAGAACAGTTTGCCCAGAGTGGTGGTGAGTGCCCCATCCCTGCATACACCCAGGCTCTGAGCACCTGATGGTGTACCTGTTCACTGCAGGGGAGTTGGACCAGATGGCCTTTAAGGGTCCCTTCCAACTCAGACAGTTCTGTGATTCTACGCTTCGCTAATGCCCTGAGCAGCTGTGCCTTGTCTCCGAAAGACTGAAACTGCCCAGCAGTTGAAGTCTATATAGTATGGTACTAGAGAACAAACTTATTTACCTGCCTGTTGGTAAGTTTTAAACAATTTTTAATGAATACAATAGTTCCAAGCTCAGTTTATTAATGAATATATGTGAATTAAAAATTATTGTCAAGTTTCCTTCTATTTCTTAGATAAACAATTCTTCTTTACTATGGCACATACAGAATCTTTGCTTTCAGAGAGCATCAGAAGGATTTTTGTAAGTAAAATGATGCATCAGACCATGAACTTGTTCTCCCTCTTGCTGCCATACTCCTACAAAACTGCTGTGCAATAACTTCCAGCCATGAGAAAAAGCTGTAGTTCATGTCTGACACAGTTTAGTACAAGTTCTGTCTGATAAGGGTCCATCCAGCAAGGAGCAACCTAGGGGTTGTATCTATTTAGTGTATGTGCAAATATCAATTAATAAAATATTTAGTGTTTCAAAATGTCTGGAAGCCTTGTTCCTAAAAAACGGTATTTTCAGCCTTTTCAACATTTATTTCCAAGAGGTACTTAAAAGAGGGAGGATAGCTGAACCAGGAATGCAGTTCAACGCTGGACCAGAGGTACGTTTCGGTAGCCGATTGCTCCCCGCGGCCGCACGCCGGCGGTCAGGAGCCGGGTCGCTGCTGGCCCGATGTATTGGGCCCGCGAAGCACAAAGCGCTATCGCCCGGCGCCGTGGCTTAGTTGGTTAAAGCGCCTGTCTAGTAAACAGGAGATCCTGGGTTCGAATCCCAGCGGTGCCTGCGCGGTAGAATTCTACCTTTTGCGCGCGGCCGCCGTTTTACCGCAGCTCGGAGCGCGGGAAGGGCGGGTGGGGCTGAGGGGAGCGGGCTGCGCCGCGGCTGTGTGTGGTGCGACGGGCGGCAGTGAGGAGCAAAACGGTCGGTGTGCGTGAAATGACGTGCGTGCACGCACGCGATACGTGTTTCTGCACGCGATACGTGTTCATGCAGCCCGGCATTGCTCCTGCTGCCCGGTTTCTCTTTCGGGTCACGGCAGCTGCCTGTGGATCTGCTGCTTGGTCACCCAGATTCCTGGGGAACCGCAACGAGGATTTTTTTCGTTCTTACAGAGCCAGTTCCTCTCAGATGTCTTTGCCTCCTGTCTCGTTATCCGCTCACTCACTGCTCAGTTTTATTCCCGTCATGTGACTGCAGGCCAGGTGTCCAACATGAGGCATGTGCCACCCCTGTGCCCAGGCCTCCCCACCTGCCCTCATTCCCTTTTTCAGTTTTATTTTTGGTTTTTCTGAGGGCAGGCTGTGTGGGAGCCCCGTGTTCTCCCTCAGGCCACTGCTGAGGTGACAGAACTTTCCGAGACATCTCTGAAAGTCAAAGGCCAGCCCCCCAAATTGGGCAGGTGAATTAGGTTCAGCGCCGTCATTCCAAATGTACAACAAAGGCAATCTGTCCTCACATTTGAGCTCAGGAGGCTCTAAACCCGCTAGCACAGCACATCCCAGCCCAGCAGCTGTAACCTCAGGCAGATTTTGGTCCACACAGAAGCTGATGGGAGTAAACCTAGTCACTGGCACGTTTGGAGCACAGAGTTGTTGCTGGGATGGAGCTTCTGCTGCCCCAAGAGCAAAGTGTGGGCCCAGCATCCCGGATCAGCGCCTGGCTTGGCAGCTATCTGCAGGAGCCCTCCTTGGAGCAGTATTTGCTGTGCAGTCTGTCACACTGATTCTGGGCTACTGACAAAATGAAGTTGAGTATGCTGAGTATCATTTAGAGTATAATTATTTTCTTATGCAAATTGAAGACCAAAGGTACATCTAGCCCCATGGTTTTTCTGTAGCTGTAGCCCACAGTGTATGTTTAGGGCAGAACATAAGCACAGGGCAAACGTGCAGTGATATTTTGCCAGAACGCTCTGCCAGCCTCCAGTGATTTCCAGCCTGGGGTCTTGAGCTCTCACATACAGATGTGATCAAATTTAATTTTTCATTTCTCCACGTCTGTGGGTAGGAAGAAGTGAAGTGACTCCTGCAGGCAGATGTGCATATTGGAGACATCTATATCATAGGGACAGTTGCCTAAAGAAGGGAAATATTAAAGGCAGTCAAATGTTTAGTGGCTGTTTATTGTAGCGGTGACTGTAGGCTTAGGGGAAGATATTTTGCAGTTTGTCTGCAAGGGCTGACATTGCTGCCTGCACATTATTCACAAAGATTTGAGTGAAAAAATTTGATGAAAACGTTGAGTGAAACCACATCGCCTGTTAACCCCAGTTTGCAAGACTGCCCTTTCCTATTCCTTGACATGCTGCTTTGCAAAGTGTTGTGCTTTGACAGGCATGCACCGTGACAGTGTCATGCCTACATAATGTGATGTGATGCATGTGTCATGAAAGGATCTGCCAGAGTGTAAATCATCAGCCTGAACTTTGGGGTCGGGGGGGAACTGTTTGGGATACTGCAGTCTGTGTAGTAGAAAGAAAAGACATTCTCTGGTTACTACTTTGTTGGGATGAATTTTTCTTCATTTATAACTAATTTGCAGAAATGATATGTGTTGCTTGTAGGACTGTGGTAAGATTTTTCATTGTCAGCTTTTACAAGGTAAGCAGCGGCATTAAGTGTCCTATTGAGAAGGGAGAGGCTTGCCTCCCACCACCCAGCACATCAGCTCCTCACCTGCATTCATTCTGCCATTGATGTTCACAGTTCAGATCTTTATAGAGGTGAAACTGGTCTGGAACAGTAGGAATGGATATCCCACAGAGCATCACTTAAATGACAGAAAACACAACAGAGGGCAGTAGTGCAATTTAGATTCTTGCCATTTAGGACCTGTGCTGTTGTTCCATTCTCCAGTAACCCAGCTTGTAATTATTTACAGCTGAATAGAAACAAATATTTACATTTTTGAAAGCCTGTTTGTATTTCAGTTGGGAGTGAAAACCAAGGCTCTTCAAGGAAGGAGACAGATTAGCTAGAAAATAACGAGTTGTGTGCCCAACTCCTGCAAAATGGAGCCAACAGGCTGCAATCCAGGGAAATGTCTTTTATTCCTTATTGCAACAAGTCTTTTCTTTCTTTCAAGCAACTGTAGCTAGCCTAAGATCCTTAGAACCTATAAAGTTATTATTAATTTTAGTGAGGTAATCAAGAATTGATCTCACTGACATCAATGGCACTGACTGCTGCAGTCAGGTTTTCATTCAATAGATGATAACAAAGAATCTGATTCATAATAAAGGGAGGAAAAGATGAGTCAACCCAAGCTATGTAAGTAGAGTTTTTCTTGTGTTATTAACAGCGCACTGGCATCAAAACAAGGTCTGTCCTTATCTGCTGTAGTATTTGTGCTTTTTCTTTACTTACATATGACTGAACACAATTAACCTTCATGTGATTCCTGCTAAAGCACGTGCTGAGCTCTCGTTATTGTCAGTGGAAACTACTGAGCACTGAGTTTTTCTGAAAATCTCTTGATAATATTTTAACACAGGTATTTGAGAATTCTCATTTGAATAACATTTGTTATGACATAACTGTTGGTTTGGTATTGTTTCTGGGTGACTTTTTAAACAAATGTTTTTTTTCTTATACATGCTATATACATAAAAACGCTGCTCTTTTTCTCCTGTGGTAGCAAAATTTAATGGTTGAAGGTATGGTAACAGCAAATACAGCCTCTTGTACCTGTAATTTCATTTGATGCTTCTCCTTGAATAAACTTGCTAGAACATCATAGCCTAGAAACAATGAATTATAGTTTCTCTAATTATCGATTTCAGTTAATGTAGGTTTTTGTGGAAAAAAAAGGTCTTATATGAACGAATCTATTAAATTTTGGTTCTGATTTTTGACAAATTATGACTACATATCCTGTCTTCCTGTTAGAACATTTGCTGTCAGTAACATCACAATCTCCAAACCAAACTGAAGTCAGTTCTGTTTGGCCAGCCCTAAGAGGCTGTTTTTTTCAGTACTACACCTTCTTTTTGTTGTGCATTTTCCCCTTAATTAACATTTTAATTTGCATTTTCATGCAGAACAGAATTAATCACCAAAATAAACATGTTTTCTTCTTTGAAACGGGCTATGCTCTTTCACTGAGTGCTTCTCGTGGTCATTTGGTTTGTCTTTATATAATAGCTATGCTTTATCTTAACTGAGCAGCATATCCATAACCCATTATTTCCAAAACTTTTAAGCAGCCAAAATCCAGTTTTTTACAGTGTTATCTATATTACTTGCATTCTAAAATTATTGCTTTTTTTTCTTAATAGAATGTCATTTAAAGTGTAGGAACTATGTGTCCTTAACCACAATAACTGCAAGTGCATGTGTGATGAAGGCTGGGATTCTGCAGTCTGTACAGCTGCCATTACCACATGACATCCTTTTCTTTAGGCTGAGGAAACATATCCCAGGTATTTGTAGCAAATTCCTTGTGGCCATGGCCAAAATCTGCCTCTGTTCTAGGATGGCGAGAAGAGAGTGACCTTCATGTGCACATTCCATGTTCTTTCCAAAGGCCAAGTGCTGTTCCTTCTGGCAGTCTGTCTGACTGCGCTCTGTGGGAATGTAACTGGGAAGATTAGGGGAGAATGAATGAATTAGTGACTGCAAAGGCAAATGTGGAATGAGCAGAGCCAAGAGCTACCGTGAGTTAGTGCATCCCTTTAAACAGTGCTAGTAAGACCCATACCGTTATAAGCTGATGCAGTGGTCCAAATTCAGTTCAGTAATAAAAACATGAGGAGGATTTAGTCATTTCTTT